AAAGAAAGAAAGAAAGAAAGAAAGTACCTTCAGAAAAGGAAAAAAAAACCAGATTGTACATTTTGTGTTCTCCTCCCTCTTCTCCCCCCCATACCCCCCTCTACCTTTTGTACTCCTTTCCTTATCCCGTTTTCTCTACCTTTTGTACTCCTTTCCTTATCCCATTTTAAAAAGAAAAAAGAAAGAAAAAACAAAGAAAAAAAAAACAGAGAAGGAACAGGGAGGTTTACAGGCCTACAGAGGTTCTACATCTCTGCTCACCGAAAAGTCTTCATGAAGGCAATCTGATTTCTAAGACTCTTTCAAAACCACTTACTGAATCTCTACAACCTTGAAAGCTGGAGGGGCCATTCTCTGGGACCTGGCATGCTCCCTCGGGTGACATCAGCCTTTTGAGTGATCACTAGATACGACTTTCTAGTGAGCCCGTCCCCTTCTCACCACCACTCCTTCCTGTATGTGACTTTGTTAGAATCAATATATTCTTAGCATGTTATTGGCAGTGGAGAGGAGACCACACATTTTGGTGAAAAGTAAGGGAAAGGCTCAAGGCCAAATGAAAAGTGCACACATGTAAGTGTTAATTTTCTAGCTGGAGCCGATAAACAGCTCTCATCGCATCATCACATCTTCTGGAATGAGTTTGGACATGTGGCAAATAGCAGGGGTCTGAAGAGGGGTGATGCATTTCAGCTCTGCAAGCCATTCATTCCTCTGTTCCAAAATAAAAACCTTGCTGGTTGGCTGTCAGTACTAGGCTCTTCATGTGTTCAACATTCATCATGGCCTTCACCTTCAAATGACAGAAGGGACAGATAGCAACAGGTTTAAATTTAAACATGTAAAGAAAGCCACATATTTCTCACACATTTCTTACACTCTCCCGTGTCTACAGATATTACACCTACAGATGACATGCAAGTAATAGTTTAGTGTTTCCTTTTTGTTTATATCTCATTGCGATATCAGACATTTGTGGGTGGAAAAAACACAGAATTAGGTGCTGTTGGTGGGTGTTTTGTTGTTTTAAAGAAAGAGATAATCACATCCACAGCAATCCTGGAAACAGGGACTGCCTTACCAGCTTGTGGAGCTGTACTAATCTCCCCACACCCACACTAACTTGCAGCTGGTTGCATTTATACACTAAATTTAGCAGTATATTGAAACCAGACAGATCTTTGCATTTCACTCTGATTTGTTGGGGGTGTGTGTGTCTATGTGTACATATTTTCAATTGTGCAACCCTAGAGAGTTATAATCTGTCCAGTTTCTTTGAGATGTTTGCAAGTTTTGTATGCCACATGCTAAGGTAAGCCGTGCTAAGTATTTAGGCATTTTTTCTTTAAAATGTATTGACAATGGGAAATTTACAAGCAACAAATTCAAGAAGTATCACTTTCTTGGACAGTATGTAAAACAAGGCTGGAGAATATGAAGCTCTCCAGACAGTGTTGGACTACAGCTCCCATCAGTCCTAGGCAGCATAGTCAACATAAGAGGTGCTGGTTATTTGCAGCCCAATAAGATGTAGCTTCCCCAACAATCTACAATGTAATGTTTGCCTTATTAGATTTTAACATTGCAAGAATCAAATCACAGGCAAATGTAACACATAGCAAGCGTTCTCCAAGGAAGAAATGTATCATGTGAACACAATTTATGACACTTTTTGGAACAGGGTACTATGGATTTTTATGTTTTTCAAAAGCATCTTTATTTTCAAATTTTAATGAAAAGTGTCTTTAGTTATACACTTCAATATTTCTGTGACTTAAAAAACAAAGTACAGCTATATATAATTATAGATATAATGCATATTTGACATTCATTTATATTCCACAACAAGCTAAACTTTGTAACATTTTACTATGTACATTAATGAACTGTATTTTAGGGAAAGCTATTTCAACTACAACTTGGTGACTTTACAATATATGAGAAGAAATGATTGCAAAAAAGAGGAAGGTTAATGGAAATCCAATAGCAGTTATAATGAACATAGGGTTACAATAACCTTTGCACGCATCCCTTGCCCCCGAGGATTCTATGGTGCTGCACTTTGAAGGAAATCTTAGTTTACAGGATTAGCGGCTCTTTCCTCAACGAATGTTCGCTAAGAAAGCAAAGCACATTTCAAAACTAATCTGTATATATATGTGTATTGAATTAAATATTGCAATATGTGTAACTGACTCAAAATTTCCATTCAGCAACATCCTTTATATTCCATATTTTGTGCAAATTTTGTCTAATATATTTGATATGTTTAACCATTTATTAACCTTTATAGTAACATATATGCACCGAAGGAAGTACTGCTTTAATGAGACAGTAATCAAAAACCTAAACTTAGAAATGAGTAAGAAGATACCAAAAATTAATGGAATCTCACCTGGAATTATTTATCTGAATGTTGTAATTCAGAGAAAACCATGACCTACTATGAGCACTATGTTGTATCTAGCTCATAGGATGCTCTCAGATATGCTTTTATCCAAACATTACTTTGCTTCAAACATGTATATTTAACTTGAATGGGAGATAGATGTCACTTGCCATTTGCAAACTTCCTTTCTTCCAGCTTTCCTCTTACCACAAAAAATCAGTTTAAGATTTTTTGATTTTAGGAGTCCTCCATGCAGAGGTTGCCACAGTGTGCTCCATCCCTGAAGTTTCACAAGTTATAATCATGTTATTAACTGATTCAATACAGTTGAACGAGCATGGAAATTATACCTATTGATTTAAATGCTAACGTTTCCAAACTCACACTCTTGAAAGTCAACATACTCTCCACAGTGGATCCAAAGTAGTGTGACAGAATGAAAGCGAAAAAATAAATAGGTGACATCTCTGTACGTACATCAAAACACAGCCTGCCTTTGCACAAGATGTTCTGGATCCCAGCCTGTATGATGGAATGTGGCGGGTGCGTGTCAATTTTGCAGTTACGTAAAATGGCTCAAAAATTACCTTGCAACCTGTGAACCCAATTTCTAAAAATCAAGATAATGGATACAAGAAGCACTTGTCAGAATCCATTAAATATTTGATACAAAGAGCCTCTACACTACTTGAACAAATATGTGCAGTTTTGGAAGGCTGATAGGAATTGTCAGACATTACATTTGCTGGTCTGAGTTTCTTCTAAAGGATACCTCTGTTCTCATTTCACTGTTCCATACATGCAATATATTGCTGAATGGGTGAGTTGTGAGTGAATGTGTGTGTTGTTACTCTAAGACTTTTGAAAAACTACTTTGTACTCTTCTAGCCAGTAGCTGTGTTAGTTTATTGTAGGACAAGAGAAACCCGGAGTCTTGTAGCAATTTAAGACCAACTAGTTTTTATTTTTCATGAGCTTTTGTGTGTTTAAGCTTATGAAAAATGAGAATAAGTTAATCTTAAAAGTAGTACAAAACTTCTGGTTCTACTTACGTACTATTTTGTGCAGCAGTGTGTTGGTTTGTTTTTTTTTTAAAAAACTTCTGTTAAGACCTATGGTGAAAACAACAAACATTCAAATGAAAAATCAAGAAGAAATAAATTGCACATGTACCCTAGTTTATTCAAATGGAGTTTTATTTGTAAGGGGCTTGCACACTGAAGGGAAATGTATATCTATCTATCTCAAAATATGGAGTTGGGAGAACTTTGAGCCATCACAGCGGAGTAGAAAATATCTATACTGCAGATTATCTTACTGCACAAACCACATTAAAAAAAAAAACAAACTTCATATGACAAGGTTGTCTTGTAGTTCTATGACCCCTCAGATGTCAGACTGCAACTTCTGTCATGCCTAAGTAGCATAGTCTATCATGAAGGATGGTGGGAGTTGCAATCTGGGAGCCACATATCCATCCCTGTTCTAGGGTTTTAAAATTTACACTGCTGTTTCTGGACATTTACTGAGGCAAACCCTTTTCCTCCCCTTCACTAACTACAGCTCCTTGTCTTATGTGGGATGCCAAGCTCTTATCCCATGCAATGTAGAAGTAGGTTGTAAAGACAGTAGAGGATTCCATTTATAGAAATAAAGTATTTCAGATGGCGCAGACTTTTGAAGCTTCATTTTCAGCTTTTTGGTAACATTCAAAACAATCTAGAAGTGAGATCTATATGGAAAAAAAAATATGTAGGCATGCTTTTGTATAGCATTACAGAACAGGAGGACATAATACTTCTTGCAAAATTACATTATAGAAACATCAACCTTAAAACCTTAAACATCATCCTTAAAAAGAATATTTATGGAAATTTTAGAAGTCCTGCCTGTCTTTTATTTTTTGCAAACATATATTTAATATTTTAAAACATAAAAGTCTCTATAGAAAAATCTTTATATTCTCTCACATAGAGCAAAACTCCTTTGAATTCATTCTGTACAGAAAAAGTATCCATATTGCCCTTCCCACTGCTTAATTTAGATTCTCACCCCTGAATCTGAACTTTGATGCTATACCAGTAGGTGTTCCTCTGCTAACAATGCAAAATAATAACAAGGGCATGGTTCTGAAAAGCCAGATGCGCCATAAAAGCTTGAGAGGGAAAATGATTGCGTCCCTTTCTTTTAAAAATGTGCCACAGCTAGATGTCTGGACTAAGCCTAATGAAAGCACACGCGTTTATTATCTCTCTTACAACAGAGAAGTAATGCATGCATCATGGCTTCAACTCATTGTGGTAAGAACACTTCAGCAACAGCTGTTACAAAAAGTTATGTATGCATATAGCTACATATGCACATATATGTATGTATATCTGGGATGCATATATATGTGATGTTCTTTGTTTCATCTAAATGAGACCTGAGTGTTGTTTTGCTCTTTAAAGAGGGAAAGATGTGGTGAGAAGAGTACTGGAGGAAGTCCTGCTAAATTTGTTGCATATGGCCAAACGTGTTATAAAATGAAGTGTACACTATCAAGAAACTAAACAGGCTGTTCTGCAAGTAAACATGATTTAGCTTAGAGCACAAGCACATATTCAAATACTTGTCCAGAGGCAAGTCAAAAGGTTCAATCAAATTTCCTCTGGTTATCCGAGTTTTAAAAACTAAAAACATAAAACACCTTACATGATACATCAGTCCCTTTAACATACTTCTCCAAAATGAATACATTATAGGAACCAGTGCACTGTCCTTTTAATTTTTAAAAAGGCTTTATCAAACCATATGTGCAGATACTTGAGACGATGACAGTGTTAAGCTTCCTAGGGTCCTAGAGTCAAAGAAATTCTGCTGCCCCCCACTGCTAAGTAAGTGCACTCCTTCCACAGGGGGCAACATCTGCCGATCGGTCATGGTTCCACTTGGCGACGACCCCAAGAAACTTCCTTGGGAAGAAACGATTTTCTCAGGACTGGCGGCCAGTTTGGGGGATGTGGAGAAGTTGTAACCATAGAGAGCACAAGGGCTGTGAAGTCTGAAAGTATTGTAGGAGCTCTGGTGTGTTTGATTTGTGGCAAAGGCATTGCTGGATGGGGAAGGCATGATATACTGGAGTTGTGGAGACATCCCTGAAATCTGCATTGATAAGCCTGCCTGGGGACAGCTAAAGGCATCACCATCACTGCCTGCCACAGACATGTTCACAGTTGCACCACTTGATACACCAACGTAAGAAGGAGTCCTTGGGGTTGCAAAGGCTTCACTGGTTTGGTTTGTAAGCCTGTTGTATGTTTCAGCCAAGGTTGTGCTGTATCTGTTAAGGGCTAGACCTGAGCGAGCACAAGCTGTGTAGTCAGCCGGAGTGAGGCTGCAGAGCTGGCTAGTGTTGGGAGCAAGGTGGAAGGCAGGAGAAGAGCAAGGGGACCCAGGATGGAGATGGGGGTGAGTGGTTGGTACACCATTGCCAGATCCCTGGAGCAAAGTGGAGGAGCCAGTGTTTCCTGGAAGAGAATATGAAAATATAAAACTCTAGAAGAGATCTATTTATTACAAGGTGGCTTAAATCACTGGTTCTTAACCTTTGTTACTCAGATGTTTTTGGACTGCAACTCCCAGAAGCCTTCACCATCAGCTCTGCTGGCTGAAGTTTCTGGGAGTTGCAGTTCAAAAACACCTGAATAACAAAGGTTAAGAACCACTGGCTTAAATGATGTTATACCAAGGAAAGCCTAGTCATTTTGCCATATGGAGCATAGGATAAGACTATGTTCTTCCCTTCCACCAAAAAGAAGCTGACCAAACTGAATTTCACTTCAACAGAATCGACAATATAGAATTCTCTGTTGCATACTGGAAGACTGCAATGTAGCTTAAAGCATGTTACTGAGCATGAAAAAAAATTGTATGCCACATCCCCCCATGGGAGAAGGACCAAGAGGTTCAGGAAAAATGGACAAAAGGAGCATCTCTATTCTCAACTATTCCAGCATTCACCACCAGGGACAGTAATCTCACCCTACCTAACAACAGAGTCAAACCTACACCCTTTAACCTTGCCCATACTCCTGTGAAGTTGGTGAGGCTGATGGAAGACATACCTGTGAAACACTGGGTGGATCTGAACATATATTTGATCTTCCTTTATACCAAGTGCAACACTATCTACTCAATGTCAGATAATACAGCTAAACATAACTTTAAGTTGTTCATATTGAAGATAACCTTCTCTCCTGCAGCCCTGGGATTATATACAGTACTGTACTTCTAATGCAATCTTCAAGGGGCACTACTGGTGCAGTCGCTAAATTGTGCTCTACTGATGAGAACAAGGGAGTTGCAACAATTACAGAAAAATCAATGAAACAGCACAGTGTATCCAGTGACTAGAATTCAGAGGCTGAACAACTTGTCTGTGTTCCTAACTCTTAGAAGATAAGGAAAGCTGCAATGCCTGTTATTGCTGAAGCCACTTTCCAGGCTTCTAAAACCACTGCTACTGTTCCTTAGTGGGTCAAACATCCAAAAGAGGATGGGCTTTGCCAGAGGTGGGCTTTTAGTTAACTGAACTGTTGATATGTGGGTGCTTTACTTTCTTGGCTGTTCTGCCCTCAACAGTTTTTAATGCAATTATTTTTGATGTTAAAATTTGTTTAACTGTATGCTAGTACAATTTTAGAGCTTTCATCAATACCTTCTTTTATTTAATCTTTTCGAGAGTTCCTCTCGTCCACAACAGGCTATAAATCAAATAAATAAATAAAGCTCCTTTCTTGCAAGAGCAGCCTATGTCAGTCTAGTGGCTACACATGACTTTTTAACTGTCTGATAAGGATACTGGTTACTCAAAAGCTTTTGCCAGTTTTGTTTCATTCAGACGAGGAAATCTCTTCACATTATAAATTTTCAGGTCTGGGTAAAGAGACAACAGAGCGGGACCTGCTGGTAGATCTCTCTGTGTTGTGGTAGTCACATCAAGATTTCTGAAGCCTAATAGCTTTTTAAAAATTTACTGCATTTATGTATCTCTGCCTATGGTTCTATCTGGGTACTAAGCCTGCCTATCTCACCTGCTATTCCTGAACTATAAAATATTAATTAGTTGCATTTGTAGAGTTCCACTGGCTAGTTTGCGAGCTGTATCTTTATCGTAAATAATTATGTGGAGGCTCAGTGCAAACCAGGTCCACTGAGCCAGATTTCTGAGTTCCCTTCCCATGCACATGATTTTTTAAAAAAAGAAAAAGGCAATAAATTATCACTGGGGATGCTGACTCCAACCATCCATAACATTCTGAAAATTTAAAAAAGCTCATTAGGAAGTCTAGCCCTCCTCTCCCTGTTTGTGATAGTCCTGCTTTGAATCAAGTACTTGGATGCTTTCTTTCAAGTTAAAAGAAAAAGAAAAAGAAAGAAAAGATATACTGCATTTGATATACAGGCTGAAATCCAGAAGTAAATTATAACTAGAGTAAGCCAATTGAATCAGTGAGGATTCGGTGAGTACACATTTATGTAAACCCCGTTGATATAGTGGGCCTACTCTAATTGTGATTTGTTACTGGACGTGGTGGCGCTCTGGGTTAAACCGCAGAAGCCTCTGTGCTGCAAGGTCAGAAGACCAGCCGTCGTAAGATTGAATCCAAGTGACAGAGTGAGCTCCCGTCGCTTGTCCCAGCTCCTACCAACCTAGCAGTTCGAAAGTGTGTAAAAATGCAAGTAGATAAATAGGTACCACCACGGTTGGAAGGGAGCGGCACTCCATGTCTAGTCGCACTGGTCATGTGACCACGGAAACATTGGTTCTATGGCTTGGAAATGGGGATGAGCACCGTGCCCCAAAGTCGGACATGAGTGGACTAAATGTCAAGGAGAACATTTACATTTACCTTTACTGGATTTTAGCCAGTGTCCCATTTATCCCATTTAACTGCTGGATAGTAAACCAGATGTCTATTTGTTATTATGCAGGTCATGCCAGCATACATGACCCCCTCGAGATGCAGTAGGCAGGAAACCGCTTTCTCCTGTAATCATCAGCACTGCACCTCCTGTTCTACTTTCAAGGCACTAGCACCCAGGAAACCTCAACTTTGTATTAGAGAACAGGCAAGGGATAGGTTTAGTGATCAGGGTGAATGGAAATTATTCAAAGGTTCATGGGGGCATTGGATTCAACATGGTGGCTGTGGAAATTGGTTTTATTGATTATCTACTCCCTTTAATGCTTTAATTCCATGTGCTTCTGTCCTGGACTGCTCTTTACATGATCTATGCAAAGTGGCATAAAGCATGTAAAACTGATTTCATTAAGATGCCTTTTAAAAAAAATTAAAATTAGAAATCTGGATCAGTGCATCTCATAGTAAGAAGTCAAAGATCCTTTCTCAACTCCCTGGACAACTGGAAACCCCCACAGAAGACCTGTATACTCTTTAAAGATAAGCCAAGAAGAGGGGATGTTTATCATATGGAAAAGTTTGCTCAGGCTCTCTCTTTAATGCTAAACACCTGCTAACTCCAATAATAACAACTTCCACAGCTTGTGTGGCCCTAAGGAACCAAGAGAGGGGGGGCTCTTTTTCATACACGGTAGGAAGAAAACTCATTAACATGAACTCTGTGCTTCTTAGGCATGTTTAGGAGAGCTATTTTATGCCCCCATAATCCTTGGCAATTAATGGGGAACAAGAAGTAATGACTGCCCTAAGGGACTTTTATACTGTTCAGTATTTCTGCAATACACATTTCAGATCTAAAGTGAACTTTTCATCGAAAATACTTCTATCACACACATTTTCTCCATATTTTCCAAAACCCAATCAATCTGGAATTTTGCTGCCTATAGTTGTTGATTCTATACAGTGATGTCAACTTAACTTTAAAAAAATGAAGGAATGGATCTCCACATCCCCATAACCAAACCCTTAAGGGCAATCTAAAAATGTAGACCACTATGTCAATTTATATCAACTCACCATTTTTTCAGGAATTCCCAGAGTGGTGTAGTGGATAGACTGATAGACTAGCACTCTGGAGAATAGGGTTTGAATCTCCATTTGGCCGTGGAAAATCACTGGGGGAGTGGAAGTGGTAAAACTACTCCTTAAATACCTCACTTATATTTAAAGCCCTATTAGGGTCGCTATAAGTCAGTTCTGAATTGATGGCACTTATTCCAGTGCAGATATTTCCCCCTGGAATTTCTTTTTCTCTATTAAAAAGGATAAAATCTTGCTTACTTTTCTAACCTTTTCATTGCAGCATGACATTGGGAAAACAAAAACCTGGATCTCTGCTTATGTCAACATGTAGCGCCTTCTTCTTTTGAAAAAGGAAAGTGGAGAGTATCTGCTCAGAAAATTACTCTACAAATTACTTATCACAAATTACTTTTCATGATCTTGAAAAGACTACCACCAACAAAAATGTCCAGAGCATTATCCACCTAAAGTTAATCTGAATCACTTCCAGTTTTGGATGGGAAAAAAATGTCACAATACTATTCGGAGTTAAGTCTCAACGAACCCAGTGGGATTATATCTGAGCAAACACATACAGCATTAGATGGGTAACGTGGGCTTAACTCTTCAGTTGAAATCAAGGGGAGTCAAAAGCACTTAACTTTGGTTCGGACATGCTCCTGGTAAAACATTATGCACATAAGCACATCAGATAGGTATTTCACTTTCAGTGGTAGACACTCACTTTGAAAGTTGACCCGCTCCTGCCTTTTTTTCCCTTTCCTTTCCTTTCTTTTTACTTCATTAACATTTTCAAAGCAATGTTTTTAGTAAAGTGAGCAGCTTTCAAAAATAATAATAATAATAATAAAAAAATCAAATCTGCAAGGCCAAAGACAACACTTCTTGTAAGAGAATGTCACACCCATTATAAACTTTGCAAGACATGACCTCAGCTCATTTACAGTTTATGGAAGACACGCGGGTGAAGGACCAGGTGAGTCTGGATCCCGGGAGATATTCCCATGAAAACGAAAGAGATAAACTCTGCAAAGAGTCTTTGTGAGATGCTCTCTAGTGCTTTACCATTTGAAGGATGAATGACCTATGGATTAATGACCTTCAAAACACACTAAGTCTGAATGTTCAGCTTATATCAAAGTTCTTGTAATTCCTTAAAACAGAACTATATAGCAGAACAGGCAAAGGTTCCTGATTTACTCCAATTAGCTACCCAGGCAGCTAAGTTTAAGGTACTGTACTTCAGTGAAATAATAATGACGCTATTTCTAAAAGTGTGCCAAGATGAACAATTTTAATTCTTTTACAATGGTAAGAATACTAGCAAATGGAGATGTCCATGAAGGGATAATTTTTCTTCTGAATCTAGTAGTAGCAAAATGAAGAGAAACTTACATCTCCCTCTTTGTGAGAAAAGCAAGTGGCTTGGTTCCATTGAAGGCTAATAACAATAAAAAAAAACCCAGTCCTAAGAATGCAAGAACGTTTTGTTGCATTTCAGGCACAACAGACCAGCACTTCAAACCAGTCCCATGACTGAATGCTGATTACACACACCACTAATGGGCTGTAAATCTGTGATTTACTAAGGGCCAGTATGTTTTTTTTTTTTTTAAATTCTAGCAGGGTGTCTCATTTGAGGGAAAAGAGGCTTAAAATACGCAGACTATGGACTAAATCCAGAGTCATGCCCACAGAATAAAAGTCCCCATCCAATGGCTATGCAAGAAGTTGTCAACTATATGTGCAACCTTTGGAGGAGCTGTGTACACCATCTTGTGTGCAAGAAAAAAAATCAGTAATGGATACCACCTTTGCTCTAATTGTGAAATGTGCAATTAGTGCAGCAGGCCTTCCGCTTAGCACTATTATATCATTATATACAGGCCTAAAAGCAGAACCCTATTGATTATTTACTTACGGTCTTACCATCAACAAAGGCCAGGGAAGCAAATTTTATACCTAAGTTTTACAGCTGAGTAAAAAATTTCAACCCAGGTTACCCCAATCCAAGTGCATAACAAATGAAGTACATATGAAAAGTTTTAAGATTACTTATCTGAAATGTTTTACTTCATTGTTTTTGAAAAAAACCTACCTCCCCTTCCCCCGTCTCCATTTTAAAGATTTTTGAACTAGTCTATTTCCTTGTAATGATGATGCTACACTTCGTGATTCATGAGCATAGTTCTCAGTAAAGCCACATCATGTTTATTTTCTTATTCAAGATATCTTGGAAATCAAATAATCACATCTGAATCCATATAAACACATACATATGTACTTATACATACATACAAGTAACAGGAAATGAATCCTGCTATTACATTTAAATAATTGCTGATTTTTCCAGGTAAGCGCATGCTGCAATGGTTAACTGTCATTTTGCCATCTCTGTTTAAAAGCAAAGTTGGAACAGTATATCTGTCTAATTTTAAAAATAATCCCAGAACTCAACAGAAGCTTCCCTGTTGATATAAAAGAGATATAACCTGCATGCTTAGTGAATATATTTTTAATTTGAACATTTAATTGTAATTTTAAGTTAGAAAATGCTTCTAAATCTGTTTTTAAAGATTTAATAATATTATTATACTAATCTTTGAACTGCAGAACTCGAAGGGACCTTATGGATTATCCAGTCCAGCCCCTGTCAAGGAGGCACAACGGGGAATCGAACTCTCAGCCTCTGACTCTGCAGCCAGAAACCTAAACCACTGAGCTTATGTTGTCTTTGTGTTGCTATGCACTCCTGCAAGAGCTCTCAAGAACATATCAATTACATGAAAATACAGTGGTGCCTTGCTTAACGAGCGCCTTGTTTAACGATGAATCCGCATAGCAACGGATTTTTTGCAATCGTTTTTGCGATCACATAACGATGTTTTTAATGGTAAAACATCGCTTTGCGATGATCGGTAAGCTGTTTCGCTTACCGATTTTCGCATAGCGATGTTTTAAAAACAGCTGATTAGTGGTTCCAAAATGGCCACCGGGGAAAAATGGCCACCCGCAGTGTTTTCGTGCCGTTTCCTCGCATACCGGGCAGCGAAAATGGAGGCCATATGGAGGATTTTCGCAGAACGGTGAGTTTTAAGCCCATAGGAATGCATTAAACGGGGTTTAATGCATTCCTATGAGCTTTTTCTTTTCGCATAGCGACGAATCCGGATAGCGACAATTTTTCCGGAACGGATTATCGTTGCTATGCGGGGCACCACTGTAAGTATGCAAACGTCGCTATGCAGGGCACCACTGTAAATATGCAAGTAAATCGTATTTGGTGGTGCTGAATCCCTTGAATAAAACTGGTACCTTGTTTTGCAATTCCAGGTATATCTTCAAATGTAAGCGTCCTCAGAGAAGGTCTCCAAAATGCATAGGACTCAACTAAAGCTTCTAGTCCCATCCTAGAGAAAATAACAATAATATTTTGTGAAGAGAACAGTCTAAAAGGTGCTTGTACTTGACAGTGCTTTATAACTCTCCCTGGCTTGATTCTGCTGGAAAAAAAATAACAATCTTGAATGCAACCTAACATTGTGTTCCAGTGGGAAGGGAGCTTCACAGCCTAACATAATTATGCTTTGCCACTAACCTATTAGCAAAGTCCTTCCCCCTCCCCGCAGCCTGAAGCAAGCCCCTTTCCCTCTCTTCCAGTTTGCTTCCGGTTGTTTGTTTGCTCTCTTTCTCCTTCTCTGACGTCTGAGCATATAACAAGCATGGAGGACGCATCTTCCACATTGTGGAGACTCCATTTTCCTTTCTTTTATTCTTCTGATTATAACTAATGATCAACCATAAGTAAATATGCTTTTATTTTCAACGGATGCTACTTAAGAGTGATTTTTATATACAGTATAAAGGGCTTGTCACAATGAGAAAAAAGGATAGAAGCTGGGATATTTAGCTATTCTCCATCATGTTTCCCCTGTGCTGCATCTTTTTTTTTACTTTATGCTTTGCTATCTAAAAGAGAATTAACCAATTTTTTTTCCTCCAATGGAGTTACACACGAGACTAAACTGCAAGGGTCTCTGTGAGCCCAGGTAAAGACTCTGGCTCACTCTGCTCTCTCCTTGTCCTGATTTAATAGGAGGAAGAATAAAACATGATTCAGTTTTACTTTCCTTGAGTCCTAACTTATCCTTGTGTATGAACCAGGAACTGTGTTTAAGACAAACTATAATCAATCACCAAACAACTCAATTTAAAATTATGGGTAGGAATGTTTATTTTAAACCATGTTTCCTGGCTTGCATGTAAGAAGCCTGCCATTTTTGCCCATGAAAAGCAAAACTGAGACAGGACTCATTCCTTCTCTCTGCTTTAAGGGAGAGAATTTCCAAAAGCATTCTTTACAAATCAGATACAAATATTTTCTATCAGGCTACACAGAAGTAGAACACTTAATCCCACATACAAGTTTACTATTAGGTTTTCATCACAGGACTGGAAAAACTGAAGAAAATGGCAATGGCCATTTTCCATGTAAAAAAAAAAGATTAAAATGCTTGGGGCTTTTTCATTTAGAAAATGAGAGCTGGATGAAGAAAATGTATAAAATTATGTGTGATGGACGGACACAGGCATGTCTGAGTTTCTCCCATAGCACAGGAACTTGGAGGTCACACTATTAAAGTGATTGGCAGTATGCTTCGGATGGACAAGACAAAGGACTTCTTCATACAATACATAATTAACTTATAGAATTTGCTTCCTTTGGAGACAAAATCAAAATGCAATTGCATTTTAGCACAGCAATTTGGAGGAACACATATTTTCCCATCATATTGTTTCTCTAAGTCAGTGGTGCCAGAAAGATTCCAGAAATGCTGCAGGAAACAGTTATAAAGTATTAACTAAATGTGGCTCTATATATATATTTAAAAAGCTTTCATTCTTCTTCCCCTGTGGTAATGGAGACTTTTCATTTCTAGTTAAATCAGAGATAAAAGCCTACCTCCTGGAGGAATGTAGCCAAGGTGATAATTTATACAAGATGCTTTCGAACAATTTCCACATTTTATCACCACCCTAATTTATATTTCCAAATGGGCAATTTTATTTAACTAAGCTATCGCATTTTCCTCCTGAAGTACTTAAGATTTTTTTTTTCATACCTCCCTGAGTAAAGATTTTTATAGGACCATTTTCTAAGGCCTGTGTGAAGAAACTTAACTATTCTCACTATATAAATTCTGTTTCGCTTTGCAAAAGTTCAGCAGGAAAGGCATGCTTTTAAGGCACAAAGCCATTGGTTTCTATAAACCATGTGTGAGACTGTAAATTACATGAACAAAAAGGAAAAAGAAAAGATTCATATCAATGAACTCCCTACAAGTGTCCTCAAAAAGAATTATGGGCTGATATTGTAACTATAATTTGCTAACAACTAAGCTTGACATTCTATAATAGGGATAGGGAATCTTTCTTGTCTTGCCTGTTATCTCTGGGGTAATTCATCAGGAACCACATGCTTGTGATGGCAGGGCAGAAATCAACAGCGGACAGGGACATCTTTTCCCCTCCTCCCCCATCCCCCAGCTCCTTCTACCACCCACTTTCCTTTACTCCTCTTCTTCCCTACCAGTCAGGTGGGACAATTCCGAAATAACTGCTGCTAGAAGGCTTTCAAAATTAAGCAAAGGTCCAGTTCTCACATAGGCTGACCACTTCTAATTGGCTTCGTCTTTTATTTCCAATGTTAAAAACTATTTAAGAGGATCTGTATTAACAAACAAGAAGTGCAAGATTGTGTTTCATTGGCTGGAATCCTATTGATGGTTGCATAACATCTGGGTAGAAATGTAGGAGGCTAATTGAGACTAATTGATGAGGTGCCAGATTACATCTTGGTTGCGCAATCAGATGCATGATTAGGCACATGACAGCGATGCACCCTGGTACCTCACCAGTTAGCCACAACTAGCCATGGGAAGCTACACAAACATGACCTGAACATCAACAGCATTCAGACGGTTGTGTTAAATGAGATGTACAACTAGAGAAGAACAAATGCATTCATGGGCTGAAATCCCTTTATCTTTTTACTTGAAAATAATGCCCGTTGAATTAACTAGAACTTAACATCTTCAGGGACATGATAGGAAAGACAAGTAGTGGGGGGGATGCGATCTGGAACCACTTCCACAAAGGAGCACCAAGCATCTTGAGGTGGTGGTTCCCCGTGGATCAGGCTTCCTTCTCCCTTAGATTTTTTTTTCCTAAGAGGTGAGGCTTCAGGGTGATGAAGGAGTCTGGGCTAAATCTTTATGAGACATAGGGACAAGACTGATGGGATACATCTTGCCCAAGCTCTGCACATTTTGCACTATGTGACAGGACTGTATTGTTAGGCTGAGATGCAAAAGTCCTTATGTATACATAAAGACATTTCCATGTGTGCATGGATTTATTCCACATCACAGGTCCTACTATACTGAATTTTAGTTCTGAATTTTAATTTTCAATCGAGGTGTTTCAAATACTGCTCCAAGCATCCCCCTCTCATATCTTTCATAAGCAGCTTGTGGTGGAACAGCAATGAGATAATCTAGGAAAAGTAAAGGAAGAAAAATTCTGGTCTATGAAAACTTGAACTAGTTTATACAGAAACAGTTGTTTTATTGAGGTTTATTTCTGAATAGGTTTGACTAGGAAAGTAGATGCTTATGGCTGAATCTTTGGCCAAATTAACATAATCACTGTTTTTTTTATATATCATATGATTTTTCTCTGGACCCTGCAGCGTAACTTTGAATTTAATTAAATAAATTAAATGTCATGTACAACAAGATTCTTTATCCATTCCTATCATTTAGCTTTCAGCATAAGTGACTAAAAGTAAAACCTGCTTGAACAGGTCATATACTTTTTCCCCCCAATTCTTGTATGGCCTCTTAACACTGTGAAAAAAAATTTTTTTAACAAATATTTTTTCAAAAAATATTCCTTAGTTATCTTGCTGCATAGATATTAATGGCATTACCGTAATAACAAGTGAGACTAGTTTACTGCACTATTGCAATTGCACATACGCTCGAATGTGAAATCTGGACTTATTTCTTTAAAAGCAAGTTCGTATTTCTCATGGCGTAAAGGATAAGCTTGAAGTGTGGAAGGTTACTAACTAGAAGTCTGAATAATGTTTCTAGACCTCTCTTTTCCATTTGTTATTGCTCCTGGGTCCTATGCTTATTACAGAATTGAACAATAAATAAAATTTATAATACCGCTTTTAGAGCAACAAGGTACTATATGTTACATTTTTAAAAAATGCCTATTAGAGCAAATAATAAAATCATATTTGCAAAATTAATTTCAGCTTCTGATAAATATTTATTTAGAAGTTGACCTTCTGGGTTACTACTCAGAGCTCGTGCTGCAGTGGTTAAACTGCTGTACTGCAGCCAAAATTGTGTTCACGACTTGGGGTTCAATTGCCAGTAGCCAACTCAAAGTTCACTCAGCCTTCCATCTTTCCAAGGTTGGTAAAATGACTATCTAGCTTGCTGGAGGGGGGGCACTGTGTAGCCTGCATAATTAACTTGTAAACCACCCAGAAAGTGCTTTAAGTTCTATGGGGCAGTATATAAGCAGCATACTTTGCTTTGCTTTTACTCAGTTATAAAAATCCTGTTTCTGGTATAATAAGTTGCACTACAGTAGGTACATCTGAATCAAGGGAACTCAGAGAAGAGTTGGCTCACCAAATCCCTATTGATTCATTGGGTCTACTCTGATCAATTTACTACACTAAGCAGCAGGATTTTTGGCCAGAGCTGATATTGTTTTACTCTTCTAAATATCTCATTTAATTGCAGCTTGATGGTGTTTGAATCCATAACTCTTAGAGCAAAATATCTGAGAATATAAAATAAATCTCCTTGCATCAATCACTGAAAGATCTGAAGTCTTTTCCTTGTTGTTGATGATAATGTTACTACTACTAGTAGTAGTAGTTTATTGGCCTGCATTATGCTCTAATAATAAAGGTGGGACGTGGTGGCGCTGCAGGCTAAACCGCAGAAGCCTTTGTGTGCTGCAGGGTCAGAAGACCAGCAGTCGTAAGATCGTAAGATCAAATCCACACAACGGAGTGAGCTCCTGTCGCTTTGTTCCAGCTCCTCGCCAACCTAGCAGTTCGAAAGCATGTAAATGCAAGTAGATAAATAGGTACCACCTCGGTGGGAAGGTAAACAGTGTTCCGTGTATAGCCGCGCTGGCCACGTGACAACGGAAACTGTCTTCGGACAAACGCTGGCTCTACGGCTTGGAAACAGAGATGAGCACCGCCTCTTAGAGTCGAACACAACTGACTAAAAGGTTCAAGGGGAACCTTTGCCTTTATGCTCTAATAAGAATGTCAAGGGGAACCTTTACCTTTATGCTCTAATAAACAACTGAGACCCGGTATGCTTAAATTTATGGCACAACTTGTCTAATCCTTTGCAGTTTCACGTAAGATCATTTATTTTCTTTCCTTGTTTGCTAACTCCTATTTGTTTTTCTTCTTATTTTCTGAATATTTTAGAGTACTGAAAAGTGAATGACTAAATTTCATTTACAACATCAAGTCAGGTGCATACGTAAGCGGCAGACATCTACAATATTTTATTTCTCAGTCTGAACTCAATCATATTACATCAATACTGTATTGCAAAGAATACAGATGGAGGCTTCATATTCATAGATGAATACGAAGTCTGCTGGCACAGGTGGCCAGCTTGAGGAACAACCACCACCCGGAACCTGCCAGACTACATACTGTGTGGGGACATCATANTCCCCCCCCCCAGCTCCCCCAGCCACTCTACAGCTAAGCAGAGAGACCCATCCTCCTGCCCTCTTGCTGGAGTGGCTGAACAAGCAGGGAAGCGGGGCTGCGGCAGCTGCTCTACTGCCACGATTGGGGCACAGAAGATGACACTGGTCCTGGGGGTGGATGTTCATCAAGCCGGCCACCTGTGTCAGTGGGCTTTGGATTCATATGAGAATATGCCCCCAGCCACTCTACAGCTAAGCAGAGAGACCCATCCTCCTGCCCTCTTGCTGGAGTGGCTGAACAAGCAGGGAAGCGGGGCTGCGGCAGCTGCTCTACTGCCACGATTGGGGCACAGAAGATGACACTGGTCCTGGGGGTGGATGTTCATCAAGCCGGCCACCTGTGTCAGTGGGCTTTGGATTCATATGAGAATATGAAGACCTCATCTGTATCAAAGAAGATATTTGATTTAGATTGACAAATTTGTTTGTCTGTTTGTTTATATGCCACCTTTCTCCCCATGGGTGACTCACGGTGGCTCAGAACAAATTAAAATCATACAATAATAACAAGTTTAAAATACAATACTAAAATGATATATTAAAAAAACAATTAAATGCTGGTCAAAATTAAAAACAATTTTGAAATTTTTTAAAAAATTGTATTTACATTTTTTAAAAATCAAGTGTTCCCACTTATTGCTGACCTCATCTGTATCAAAGAAGATATTTGATTTAGATTGACAAATTTGTTTGTCTGTTTGTTTATATGCCACCTTTCTCCCCATGGGTGACTCACGGTGGCTCAGAACAAATTAAAATCATACAATAATAACAAGTTTAAAATACAATACTAAAATGATATATTAAAAAAACAATTAAATGCTGGTCAAAATTAAAAACAATTTTGAAATTTTTTAAAAAATTGTATTTACATTTTTTAAAAATCAAGTGTTCCCTAGACACTTATTGCTTAAAAGTCAGCCTGAAAAGGAAGATCTTTGCCCGATGATGATGCAAGAACAAGAGGGAGGGGCCAAACTGGTATCTTGGGGCACAACATTCTAACCTGGGAGCCACTAAGAAGGCCTTAGAATCTGTTTCTAGGTACCACTAACTGGTCCTTATTAAAAAAGAAAAGAAAAAATAATAATATTCTGGATATTATTTTTAAATGACTTGTTCCTTCCTTGATGTTATATATTTGAAGAATGTGGGTTGATAGGTGCGGAATGCAAATATGGTCTTTAAGTATTCTGGAGGAAGAATCATCTGCATTTGTATCTATATTATCAATGTGCATCACCTCCCTTTATTCCTTCCCTTTATAAATTTATATTAATATCTTGCCTTTTTTTAAAGTACGTCAAGGAAGCAAGAACATTCATAGAGGGGCGGGGCTAAAGGGAAGGGGCATGACCAAAAAGGCTAATTTGCATATTTTACTTAAATTTTTTAATGCAATGGTCTGTTTCATAAAGGTTGCTACAAAGGTTGCTAATTATTGTTAACTAGAAAAGGGATTTAACTAAAAAAAGGGGGGGTCAACAGAAAAGTTCCCTTGCACCATCTAGTGGACATTTTTTAAAAAATAAATAATTTAAGAAATTATTTTTTTGCAGTAATGTGAGCCCCAGGGGTGCTGGTGGCTGCAAAAAATGGTCCTCTAGTCTATTCACTATACTATACTAGTTAATGTATTTATTCAGAAGCAAATCCTATTATGTCCAACAGGGTTTGACTCAAATAAGTGTTCACAGGATTGAAGCCTTTAGTTGTTTAAACAGTTGTTTGTTTATCCGAGGAATAAACTGCAGGTTTAGCTGCATGAATTAGGAAAATTCTTTAACAGAGAATACACAGAATTTCAAAAAGTGAAAGTTGATGGACTTTGTACAACACAGATGTAATGTTCTGTCTATATGGCACAACAAAAACATGTGTCAAAAGTTTCCACTAATATCTAATATCTAAATTTTAGATATAGAGCATAGTCCCTGGACATAAACAAGGCACTGTGAAAAAAAGAAGCACAAAGTATTTGGTGATAAATAGCTTAGCTCCACTATTAGTGGCAAGAATCAGGTAAATTCTAAGTGTTTGAAAGCCTACCTGTTACGTCCAGAATCTCGAAATCCTTTAGCAAAGGGATTCCTATCAATCTTGAGTCGGGTGATCTGTAAAGATGACAGAACGTGTTCAAGTAAATTAACCTACAAAGACATCTGTCTTCAAAACGATGCTGAAGCTGCACCAGTTTATGGATGCTGATGCACAATTTCAATCTGCAGTTAGCTATTCAATTTGACCAGGTAATTAAGAAACATAAATCCTGAGTCCTACTAGAAACATGGATCTAGCAATGTGATTCACTGAAGAGTCTAAGGATACTAAAACCAGCAATGGAAAAGATAAGAATCTTGCTAATCCAGTAACTGGAGTAAAAATGGAAAATACAAGTATTTTAACAATCTAAGTGGCTTATTTATACATGGATTTGTTTTACCTGCAAATATCTATTAAGATACAGTTTATTTATTTTTACCCATCCCACATGACATATGATTTAAAACATTATACTGTAGTAACTTTTTAAAAATACATATAATGTAAAAGATTTTTTAAAAGCCAAACTGCCACCATTATGTAATTACTTAATCATCTTCAAAAATATGCTAGGAAAACACAGCAGGTGAAAGGAGCTAATTTGGATTGATCACATCTGCACACAGTGTATCAAATGCTTATTGTTCACCTGTCTGCTACTACTGCCTCCTCCAGTTAAAGCGAATTTACAGAACACTCGCACAATTTGCAGCAGGCTATAAAAGGAAGATATGGAGAGTCCTAATCATCTCATTTTGCGTAGGGCTGCAAAGGGACAAGTGCAGCTTCCCTCCATTTCAGGTACCCAAGCAGAAAGGATTTAACACTTCTGTGGCTCTGAGATACTTTTCTAGCTTTCCTCAGTTAAAAGAGGCAGGGCTGGGAAGAGTTAGAGCTACTGGAGCAGGGTTGGTGCTCTTGGCAGCCATGCTTAAGGCAAGTGTCTTACTGAAAGTACAGGAATTAGGTGCCAGATTGGGTGGTTACTCTAGCATTTGCTCATGCTGAATACATATGCCCCAGTTCCTATGCAAACACAAGTTCAATCAGCAGCTTAGGAACCCAATGCGAGTTAAACCCTTTTTAACATGAACTGTCTTTTTCTTTCAGGCAGAGAATCTCATGACAGAATGATTTCCACTGTACAGGCCTATAGATATTCTGAAGGTGGTACGGCACAGAATACAGGAGAGGAACTTGGCCCAAAGCATCACGATAAAATCCTGAGAAAAGTTTTCTTGCCAGTGTGATGTTGTAGCGTGAAAAAAAACAAGCAAAGACTTTGCTTTTGGACCAAAAAAAAAGTAGGGCTGCAGTGTTTACGGACAGGTTTAGCAAATAAAAAGACAAAACTGCATTCATATCCTATAATTTTCAAGCATTTTTCAGCTTCATCATCTGCTTTTTTTCCCTCTGATTTGAGATGATACATCCAATAATCTCCACCAACCCTAAACAAGTCATTGTTGGCTACGGTCCAAAGACTTATCCTAGGTGCACACAGGATTACTGGTACACTCAGTGAGACTTTTGGACTTTTCTTCTTTGAACAGCTATCACAAACTGCTTCCAAAAGTCTCTTCACTTTCCAAATCATCTTGTCTAGGGCTCTGATTCAAGAAATTCAATCCCCAAACCTTTTTGGCATACAGAAATTAACTGAGTTGTTCTTTGGCCATTGGCCATAATGTGATACTTGTGATGACACACAATTCTCTATGGTCATTTAGACTGCAACCACAGATACATTTACTTCAGAGTAGACCCCACTAACCTCAACAGAGTTCACATGAATAAACATGTATAGGATTATGCTCCACATTTTAAACTGCTGATAAATCTAGGCGGAAAGTTAGCAAAAACAGGGATGTAAATCCCATGCAGACAAGAAATAAGAAAGCTGGATAAATTGCACTGCATAACTGCATCAAATGAAATTACTACGTTGATACACTTTGGAAAACTGTGAAAAAGTTTTTTGCTTTGAAATTGGCCGTAAGACGTTGGACAAGCTGATTTAAAACTTGTTTTCCTTCTAGCCAGCTAAAACAAAAATATGGTAAACTCTTGACTTTCTCTTAATATCTATTTCTCCTTAGATAAAAAACCAGTAAAATTAAGGAACTGGTAAGAGCATTAAATCGACTAGGGCTCTTGATACAACAAAGAAAAGAACTTGCCTTTCCAGTTAAGATGTATATGATTGACATATACAGAAAAGAAGAAAAGGAAAGCAGGGGTGGTACACATTAAAACATATAAGATGTATTTCTACTTCAACTGTGAAACTCATGTGAGCCACACATAAAGAACCACTGGTCTAGAGGGGTGGGGTACAAATCTAAATAAAGTAAAAAAAGTAAAAAAAATTGAACAAACTGAATGCTATTTGTGATGTGTCCATTTTGGAGCCACTGGTTCTTAGAGAAAATAAGATGTAGAAAACTGGATTGTGATCTGTGTTCTGACTGCTACACAGAATTTGCATATAACCAACCTGTAATTCATGCATCTACACATTCCCATGACCAAAAGAAAAATTAGGTAGATCACAGAATTGCAGCTATTGCCATCAGCAAAAACTGCAGCCAGTAGTTTCACGCATTGAAAACTGAACAGTGATAACAACCATGTTCAAATAAACATTTTATTCGGCTGTGTATATGAACAAAACCTGGATTTTTTATGAAGAAAAATTGTGTGCAATACACTGTGGATGCATTTGGACAATCACCCCCAATTTCATGAGCTGTGCTTCATAAAATTTCACTCAGTCCTGTTGTTTAAGGCAGTATATGTTTATTTGGAACAAATGTAGAAGTTTGGTTTAGTGCAACACCTTTGTGTCAAAATAAGACATATGATGGGAAATGCAGCTGATGAGTAAACCACCACAATGCTCAGCTATCGCTTCATCTATCGCTATTCCTCATCTTTGGAATAGCCTCCCTCCTGAGATTTGCATGGCCCTTTCCCTGGGCATCTTCAAATGCCAATTGAAAATGTGGCTGTTCAAGCAAGCCTTCCCTCCATCCATGGTCTGAATTTTCGTTTCTTGTGTTTTCTCCCATCTTGGATCAATTTTATGGATTTTAAACTGTAAATTGTTATATGATATGCTATTACCCGCCTCAAGTAGTCTATATGACTAGATGGGTGGGCGAGAACTGTAATAAATAAATGAATGAATGAATGAATGAATGAATGAATGAATGAATGAATAAATAAATAAATAAATAAATAAGCCAACAAACAAACAAACAAACCATGAATGGCAAAGCTAGGGATAACAATCCATATGTAAAATAGGGGAGATGATTTGAGTTAAAACTTCTCAGGAACTCCAATGAACTGGATGGTCTTTGCAGTCCTACATTCTTCTTCCACAAGAATCACAGAGAAGTCTTCTTATCCTACTTCCTATTGACAAGTTAGGCCTCTGACTAGCTGGTATCTATCTATATGATTTGCAGTGCACTTTCTAAGCTCTTCCAGAATATTAATATTATTTTAAATAGCTTAAACCATTAAATGAATTTCTTTTTACCTTGCATTTATTTTCTCCCATGAGCCTTAAAAGATAAGAAAGAGTTAGTTACCTGTTGGTTCTGGTATGCTGTGACAGTTGTGAAAACGGTTTCAGGAAAGGAGAATGCCTTCACTCCATCTCCTGAAGGAATGGGTTTGACTGGGGAGAGATCATCCCCACAGTCTTTCCGAATGACATGGACACGTGGTTGGTATTTGTGCATAGAATGGAGGATAATCTACATTTAAAAAAAGAGAGAAAGAGGCAGATGAGTAGCACCAGTTTCCTTCTGTTTCCTCTGGACCAGCATTTAAACACATTGAAACACACTTTGTGTCCCCTTTATGCTATTTTTCAATGAACTGGCTCTACTGTGATATGCCTGACAACTGGTCTGCCTTTAGGTTCAACTATGTATTTTGTAACCATGTGAGGGGAGCAAGCATGAATTAAAGGGAGACAAGGTGGTTGGATTGCAGCTGGGTTATCTCCACATTTCTCTGAAGATTTTCAGAGGCCCTCTGGAATACTATGTTTAGGGGATCATAAAGAAACATAAAAAGTGAACTGTTAGATAGGCCAGATATATAAACAGAAGCAAAGAATATTGTTTAATTTCATTTTTAAGCATGTTGTATAAACAGGCAAGGATTAAATCCTTACTACTGTAACTGTACAGATACACAGCCTGCCTGGTTGGGGAAAAATGCTCTTGCCAGGAAAGGATAATACTGATCATGGGCAGAGGGGAGCCCAATGCAATTATTCTGGGCTAGCTGCACATATTGCAGCTACACTAGCGTGACAGCCATTGTATCCAAAATAGGCTCACACAAAGAGGAAAGAAGTGGATGCAGCAGAAATAAATATCTTTAAATGCACAAAAATACTGGTCATGGCCCAAAGATGATATTTACAGAAACAGAAGGTGCCAAGCTCAGAACGTGGTCATGGCACCCCATTCCCTCAGCCATGTTAGAAGCTGGCCACTGATACCAAAGGCTTAAGAGAGACCTTTAAACCTTGCGGGTGAAAAACAGCTGACAGAAGAAAAGCCAGTAAGATTGCAAGAAAACCCTGGATGACATAGTTCAAAATTTAAAGTTCAGTGAGAGAGGAAATCTCAAAAGCAGAAATGTTTCCCCTGAAAAAGCATCAAAACTATTTTGGATAACCAGCATTCCCCCAAAACTGAAACATATTAGACTAGACAGAATGTTCCTAGGATTTTAAAGGTCTCCCTTCTTTTTGTTCCATCTTTCCTTTCCTAGTTCAAAACTGGTCCAATGGAGCAAATGTTTAAATATTTTTATAATACTACCAAGCAGTCTGGGATAAATTTTCACATACACTTTTAATGGTTTAAAAATCAGAAATCAAAAAACGTAACTATTTCTTTTGGAAGCCTACAAAATTACATAAAAGAAGGTTTCATGGTCACTAGTCTATAGAAAATCTAATTAAAAGGAGGAAATGTTTTAATTTCCTGTTTCATTATTGGCCACAGAATATTAAATTGAGCAGTGCATGTCATCCTTCCCTTCCCTCTTTTGGCAACATACTGAATGTCAAATACCATGAAACCTAAATTGCCTGGATAGAATGAAGGGCTTTACATTTGAGGAAAAAAAGGGGTGGAGAGGTGGGAGAGGGTTTAGGTAGCTGAGACTCTTTTATATGAATTCATTCTGCTCTGCGGGACATGACACTATTCTGGATAAACAGCTTTCTGAATGCTTGAACTTTCATTAGACTGAAGTCATCCTTTCGACAATTACATGAAGCACACCAAAAATCATGCTTAGATAATTTTCTTCCAGAATGCAGTCTTCCCAACTTCTGTACCCTAATATACAGCAAGATGCCAGAAAATGTTCTGCAGAATTCAGTGTTTAAATAGTATTTCTAGCATCTCTGTTCTTCTTTTTTTTTTAGCTTTGCTAAAAAGAAAAAGGGGAAATTACAATCGCGGACATGCTGGTCCCAATCCAGCATTCTTTTTCTAAGACTACTTGGGCCTATGCTAAAAAAACAAACAAACAAGAAACTACTCAGGGTGACTTTCTCGAAGCACCAGCTCATTTACAAAATGCTCTAGTTATCATTATTATTATTGCTATTGCTCTGTATTTACTATCAGATTTCTGCGAATAACATGCCTTGTTTTCCATGAACAGAACAGAATTCACATGCTGACAATGGTGCAAGTAGAAATTGAAAATGACCCTGTTTTTAAGGGTTAACTATGAAAAGTGCAGGAGTATTACTGAATAGTGGTGTGGAACCAAACTAAACTTCCATGAAAGGCACAGAATCTGGAGAACAGGATTTTGTGGGCCCTGAAAACTTCCTGATGATAGTTGGGTAGCTCTTGGGGACAGTATGTGATGGGCTACAGAGGGGTGCAGATAGAGGAAGGAGTTGGAAAAAGTCACTTCTCCAGCTGCCTTATGTTAATGGAGAAGAATTACAATTGATGTTCTAGTGATACATGACAGCAGTGATAAAAAGCAAAATTAAGACAACTGTAAAAAAATAAAATAAACATGCTGCACATAGAACCCAAATGTCAAATATCAGAGGACTTCCTTTAATGTGAGCAAAATTTTGCTAATATTTGTAAAAGATGTAGTGTATCAGGAAACTGGGTTTCATCAGCACTTTCATGATGTCAAGAACAAGTACCATAGTACTGCATCTGTTTCATCCCAAAGACCTACAGTTTAGAGATAGTGTGGCTGCACAGACCATCTATTAACAATGTAAAATTTTATATTCCCTCTTTCAAGAATACACACACGATTTGGATTAGAAACATGTTCACAAAAACTATACTATGAACATTTGCTTTTATGACTACTAATTTTCATTCTTAGCTTCTCCACCTAAGGTTTACCTTTAGTATAAATGAACCTTTAAAATCATCAGGGTCGGATGCATCATCAATGCAACTATATCCATTTACATTTAGGACAAGTAAGCTGCATTCAGCTATGTAAATTCAAGGTAAGTAAATATAGAATTGCAGTCTAAAGCAACTAGAATCTTGCTAATCTAGTAACTAGCCATTACTAAAAATAGCCATTAGAAACAATCTATCATTAGAAGAGGGAATTCCTTAACTACTGAAAACATTTGAGTACACTGCAGGAGCTTCTCTTCATGCAATTTGCAAACTTAACTTGCTCTATTTTGTGATTCATCTTCAGGACTTAAAACAACCAGATTCCTTTAAAGTCTGATTTCTCAAATGTGAAAATCTACTTGAATCACATTTTTCCAATACCGTACTAATGTTCTTTGAGCACTAATCACAAGCTCTTTATAACATCTGTTTGTTACAGAGAATCCTTCTTGATATTCTGTAACATTTATCCAGTACTCCACAAACAGGTAAGTATACAATGTTCAGAAGTCTTAAATTGTATCATGTAGAAAAGCAAGTACTATTTACACAGCTCCAACTTTGCTGAGTTATGCATTTTTCTTGTAAAAAGGCTTGCATGCTTGCACCCAGAATGGGATCGCTAAATAGACCTCAATATTCCTTGTGTTTGCAAGGTAAACGGAGACTCTACACAATCACCTGTTTTCTGTATAGAAGACACTTAACTGAGAATAATGCTACCAACTTTTACTGCCCCTGGTGGCTCTACACTATCTCAATGACAAAAGAAAGCTGTCTGACTGGTCACTATAGAGGAAAAAAAATGCTAGACTAGATTGTGGATGGGAGATATATTTTTTGATTCTTTTATAAACAAGAACTTTCAGAAATTCACAAATTGCTTTAAAGGTTGATAACAGAGTTTGATGACTTCTTAATTTGTTGGGGGGGGGGTTGTTCGTTTGTTTGTGGAATGTGGGGGCTAGCAAAATTGACAATGTCAAGCCTATAATCTGGTCCACCAAGGACTCTTCAGGTGTTCTTAATTTTTTTTGACTCTGCCTATAAACTCAATCCCAAATTTCAGCTTCTAACTATACGAAACTTACAGGGTTAGTTCAAGTCATACCACAGTGGGCACCAGAATAGCACATTCTGAACTGGCCAGCTGGAGTCAGTGATGACTAACAGGTGCTTAGATACTGCCAGATGGGCGCTTTTTAAAGGTTCATTTATACCAAAGGAAAATTGAAGTCATGGATTAGTCCAGGGGTGGGCAATTAATTTCTATAAGGGGGCCACATGAAAAATCTGAACTGCGTTTGGGGGCCGAACCAACTTTACTTAAAATTAAAATGAAACAGTGCTGTTATGATTGTTTTTATTTTAAACTTGTTAATCTTCACAAATACTAAAGAGGTTTTTTGCGGTTTGTTAAAGATAAGCAACTGATCAACTTCAGACAAAAAGTTATAAATGGTTTTGATGTTCAAAACTGTCTGCGGGCCGGACAGGAGTAGCTCGCAGGCCAGATGTGGCCCTCGGGCTGCACTTTGCCCAGGCCTGGACTGGTCCGTTTATAACACCCTTTTTGTGCTGGATTAACTATATCATTAATTTAGCTTTTTTCCCCTTTTCTGATTAGTGACCCTTTCACATGCGGTTGCATTTTCAAAAAGATTGCAGAAGGAAGCTTAGTTTTCTTTAAACTACAGGGAGGAAATTAAAATTGCTTTAGATATGAATTGACCCAACTCCAGAACGCAGTGGAAGGCAGGAGGGCCTGGCGTGCTCTGGTCGCGAAGAGTCGGCTACGACTTAACGACTGAACAACAAGATATGAATTCAGTTCTTGCACATAGTGCCTGCATACTTAGAGCAAATTTGACTATATTGTTATAATCTAGAGCCCAGTGTTCATATTAAGAAATCTTACCTTTTAATACTATTTCTTTAAACTACTGAAGGCATATAATCAATCCTAAACTACCCAAAATGAAAGGTTTTGTAACAGCTGTCAATTTTAAACATGCACGGTCAAGGAGAAAGAAGACCAGGAAAATAAGCAAAGCCAATTGCAGCTTTCCTCTTTAAAAGTCTAAATGTACACTTTTATTTCTCCTGTTCTGCACAAATCTTGTGAGAAGAGCAAAAGTGTTCAAGTATTATCTTATTCATTTCTCTTACTGTATTTATTTTTCTTCCCCTCTGTTATAACTGAGTGGAAAAGGGGATCATGGAATTCTCTGAGAATAGGTACCACTTTCTTATCACTTCCTTTTTTTATTTTCAGTAGTTTGACTGAAAAATGCCAAATATATTAAGAATAGTGACGAACCTTAAATATAATATTAATGCTGTACTTTGCATGAATAAAAAAGTTCCAAATACTAACTTATACAATGCTAATTCCAACTTCCACTTATATAAGAAACATTTGCCCCTGTGATTTATTCTACATATGCAATAATTCAGCAATCTCAAAACAATCTTCATTCTGTTTTAAAGGCCAAAGAATAGAAGTATATACAGTACTTTGGAACAATCATTTCCCTGGTTTATATTTCTGCATTTTCTGGTAACAATAAATGACATTCTTTGCAATCTCTTCAGTTTTAGAAAGATGAGTTTCTTATATAACCTTTTGTCTTCAAAACCTATATTTGTATTTTCAAGGCACATTTTAGGTCTGAATTAGTTCAATGTGTCCTCTTTTTTTATTTGTTCTAGGAGAAAGCTGCTTGACTCTCCTCCAAACTGAAGTATTCATTAAAGTGGAGTGCTCAATTCCAAAGCATTCCACACAATGAATAATAGCTTTACAGCAAGAGTTATGCAGTTTTCAGTTCAGATGGGAAATAAGTTAAACCTGCTGATTACCCAGCTTGGAATATACCCTCTACCCATCCTGAGAATATAATTTTTCAGATTATCTAATTCCCAGACGTTTGACAACCTAAGGTGACTATTGAAATAATGATCATAAGCAATTGATTCACATGTGATCAACTGAAGATTTAAGAACCTTCACTGAACAAAGCTAATTTTCAGCACCATCTCTTAGACAATTTAATTTGAAGTGACTCCACTAGAGCAGTGTTTAATAAGATGGCATTATCCCTTTATGACTTAACAATGCCATCAATAGCTAATCAATATTTAAATCAATATTTACCTATAGCTGTACTAAACACACCTATAGGTATGCTACAATTCACTACCATTTACTTCTATTCATTATCCTTTCCTCTTATTATTCCTTCTAGTTCCTATTAGAAGGCAATTGTCATCATGGCTATCCAAAATCAGTGTACTCTTGATGACATCCAGCATCTCATACGAGAGGGAGAGGGAGAAGAAAAAGAAGGAAAGAAGAGAAGGAAAGGACTAAATACTCTCCTTTACTCCACCTTTGTTTAGTTCCCTTGATTAATCTGAGATTTGCAGCATCAAGCCCCACACATAAAGAATTACTTATGTTTTAGCTATTTTAGCAATGTAACATTTTACACTGACATGTCAAAACAACAACAATTATGTATTAATCTATTCATTACTTTTATATCTTGACTTTCTCCTAAAAGATAGCACTCTGTGAGGCTTATAAACTAAAAAAAACCCCAATAAAACCATATTTTGCTTAAGAAAAGCCCATGAAATCATGAACGAGCCCCACCATAAAATGATTAAAATAATGCAAGGACATTAAATCCATGCCAATTTCCAGTCACTACCACTTTTCTCACCTAGTATCAGACTAAGTACAAAAGTTACTCAGACCTCTGAAATGCTTATACTGAATGACAAAAAGAAAACATGATTCAACGAAAATGTGATACATAATATTCTCAGTTTTCTGTTTGCTATTTACAGAACCAGGGTTCAAAAGAACTGAATATCAAAGATGGGTTTTAAATCATTCCTATGTGTGAAATGCAACAAAACACCAATGTCCCTTTATCTTAGAGCTTTGCATGACTGTTTTACCATGTGGTCTCCGTATTCTGACTCCCATGTCTGAAGAACTGGATGATATTCCATGAAAGCTTACATTACAATAAAACACACAGTCTTTATAGTGCCATGATGACATTTTTTTGCTTTTGTTTTGTTTTGTGTTTCTTGTTGAACTATAATATTCTGTTATATTTGCTGAACCAACTGCCAGGCCAATTGTAGTAGCCGTACGGTTAAAAATTTCAAACAGTTGATAACTCTCCTCTTAGAATCATGCCCTCCCTAAAATTAAGCAGAACATTGTTTCTTATGCAAAAGTCAGGCTCTTTCCAACTAAAATATTGTATGTCTTATCCCTTCATAATGTAATGGAGATGTTGTCCATTATAGGACTGAAGGATACATTCACTGATAATTCCTTTATGGGCTAGATTCTTATTAAGGAACTCAATGGGATAGTTTCTACCCCAGGAACTGATTCACTGACAAAGACTGAAAAATCAGTCAAGATATTCAACACAGACTCAGTCAAAACAAAAGTCATAAATGGATTTGAAACATTCATAAGGTGATATGTGGGTCTCTTTCTCCTGGGCCTAAGAGGAAAGCACACTTGTAAGTGATTGCAGGTGTTTATTAAAATATTTAGAGAATTTTCATATAATCCAACTACAACTAATACTATTGTCTGAAAAAGTGAACGTATTCATTTATTATTGAATTTTTCAAAATGTATAATCAACAAGCCCTGCCTCAAAACCATTTTATACAACTGTTTGCAAAGGTATAAAGCATGACAAAGAATTAATAATTTCTGAAAGATATTTGTTTATGTGGTTTTTCTTCCCTTAAGTTTTGAAGAGAACAAGAAACACTACTGCAGCATATTTTGTCATGTGAGGTGGTGTCATAACTAAACAATTTGGAACTTGCAAACAGAACACTTAAACCACAAAAATTCCTTCCAGTTTTGCAGAAGTAATGAGCTTCAGCTGTAAAAAGGTCTTGCTCCATAAGGCAGGTAATAAATCATTATCATTACGAACACTGCTCTCATGATGTTCTTTTTGAGTACAGTTATAAACACCTCATGGGGTTTTTTGCACAAATTATTTTATAAAATCATTAGTTAAATAGTTTCATACTCAAGTAAAGTTCTTATACAGTTAAAAAGAAAATGTTTTTTCCCCTAGAGTAGATGGATGGCTACTGCAAACAAATGATGCAAAATTTCCTTCTCCACTAATAGTGGAAGTTGAAACCCTTGACAGAAGACTAGCTGCTGTCAGTACCACAGAATTACTGCTATTTCATAATACTGTTGGGAAAAGAATTGAAAGCTACATTTTGTTGTTTGTTGTTTAATTGTTACTTCATTTCCGACTGTTCATGACCCCGTGGACCAGAGCACGCCACAAAGCCACATGGGCAATGGCAAAATGTACAGACAGTTCTGTACTTTCAATTTAATTCATTGATATGCTTAGCTCCAACTAGGTACTGGAAGTATAAAGGCACCCCATTACTAATTAGCTGCTGTGGTAAAATATAAAAGCATCCATGTTTCTGAAATTATAGAAACTTTACGAAATCAAGTAGTTTTTGTTAACACAACAAGGTACCACATCAGAATTTTTTTTAAATGAGTGTATTGTGCTATTATGGAAAACCAGATACTCACATGACCCTGGTCATCCAGTTCATTGTTTGTCAGTTTCAGTTTGTCAAAGCTGATCACTTGTCTCATCCAAGTTTCTCCTGAGGCAGGTGAATCTGGATGAATATATACACGGGGTGGCACAGGCGAGTCAGCATTGCCAGCTACCATCCATTTGGAGCTGTGATACACATACCTATTGGAGGAGCACCAAGGCATATGAGATTCATAACAGAAATTAGCTATTGCCATTGTTTAGTTATTCAGGCAAAATACCTGTATAACGCATAATTTATATGTGATACTTTTACCCAAAGTGAGTCCCCTCTAGGCAGCAATATTTGCTTGCTACAGAAAAAAAAATCCAGCTAAACCACCTGGCATGAGTATTTTTTTTTCTTTAACTTAGCCCAATGCTTCCTCTAATCAAATTGTAGAGCAAACAAGAAAATATTAGAAATGTAGGAAAATAACAATGGAATGTTTAAACAAAGAAAAAGAGAATAATTGAAAAGAAAGCAAAATTCTATGAACTCTTTTAAATGATACAAATCAAAATTCTGGCTCATCAGAAATTTATCTTAAAATCAGTATCATATTTGACAGGAAATGTCCTATAAATAATAAATATTCCATTCAAAATAATGTAATAAAAACTAAGTGAATGAGTATGTTTGTAAAGCATATAATGAAAAACTGCATAATTTTTTTTTTATATCCGAAATGACCATCAACTCAATTTTGTTATAATACAGTATTGGAAAATCTAATCCTATAAGGAATTGAAATCTCATCAGTGCCACAAGTGTTTGCAGTGAAATAAAACAGAACATTACCAACATAACTGGAATGTTCCATCTTATAATAAAAGAACACCCAGAGTACAAAAGTGTGTGCACTGTATTCAGAGACTTGTACGCCCACAACAGACAACACTTGAAATTCCTACAAAGGAATGGTGGATGGAACTACCTCCTCTACTATTGTGAACAGTAACAGTAACAAACAAACCAGTAGCCCCTGCTGGTGATCCCAAAAGGTGTGGATAACCCTGGGAAAGGGTTGTGCTGGTTCGTGATTTCCTGTACATCATGCAGTTGCTATAAAACAGATTGGACTTGACCATGCCAAAAGTGGCCCAAAATGCAAGATAAACTTCCATCTGATCAGTATATTAGATCAGTATGACTTCATAGCCTATAAGCCTTTCATTAATAGAAGAGTTCCTTCTCTTCTATTCCTTCTCTCCTATTCAGTGGAGGCTCCCACTGGTCAGCGAGAAAAGGTGGTTTCCACCTATTTCCCTCACTCTGTATGCTGTCCATCCCTGTTCTGTATATTTCTCTAATTCTATCAAGCTGATTCTCATAGGGCTATGCAAGCAAGAGTTAAAAAAGAAAGAGAGGGGGAAAATAAAAGAGAATAAAACCCTTCCCCTTACTTTCATCATCATGTAAAGATGAGAAAATCTCAGTCTTGATTTTGTTATGTTTTTACACCTCCCATTTCATCCTTATTGGGGGACAGTTCTATCTGCATATAAATTTCCACACATTTTCTATATACCATAATACAAACATTTTTCTAATGTATACATTTTATATACATTCTCCCCATTAACTAAATAATGTGCGTTTATATATTAAAAATATTTCATATTTTTAAAAGTTATGCATATTTTCAAATGTGTGAATTTCTTAAGACAAGGCACATTTTGTCTTGCATTCAGTCTTGGAATGTATAAAAAGGGGCAATGTCAGCGGGAAGCTCAAAGCCATTAAAAAAAATCTATCCATATCCTCAGGAGCATTGCATAAAGGAACTCTTCTTGCGAATCAAGCCAATGAACACAATATGCAAGGCATAGGCTTTGTGCTAGTCATACTGATTTTAAGGGCTTTGAAGGATTATATCCAATGTTTGACCAACTTTGTGCTGCAGCTCAAAAACTGTTAAATGAACAAAATGTTTGACATACAATAAGCTATTTGACATCCATACATATAGAAAGACTGAAACATATTTAAAAAATCTGCTATTTGAAACATTAACATAAAATTCACTACAACCAATCAATATGGGGGGGGGGATCTTAAATCATTTCAGCTAAATCTGTTAAGCCCAAGTGAAGTAGAGCCACAGAATCAATAGGACTTATGTAAGTGTTGGTTTAATAAATCCCATTCACTCAATCAGCTTAATCTAGTTCAAATTAACTACTGCATTTAGCCCTTGAAATTAAATCTTTAAAATGCTAAAAATAGGAATATGCCATTTAGTACAAAATAAGCAAAGTGTATTATACAGTGCATGCGTGTTCGTGACTGTCAGAAAAATTGTAAACATGTTTATGTTAAAAGTTCAATTTATTTATTTAATATATTTAAAATATTTTTACTCCACTTTTCTCCTTAAAAGGACCCAAGGTTGCTTTTCAACCAGTTTTACTCTCCAGTATGTCTATTTAGAATTGGATTTTCATCCCTGGAAGATTAATTCACAGAAATGTATTCCAACTCCAATTCAAACCCAAGAAAATGCTGTTTTAACTGATCTGCATTTTAGCCAAAGTGAAATCAACACACCAACAACTGACACAAAATTGTCTTCAGGGACATATAAGGTGCAGGACTCAGCCTCTTTATAAAATAAAAATAAAAAATTCTTGAGGATGATAGGATAAGCATAAAGGCATTGCACTTCTTATAAGTGATAGTGCAGGTCTCTTAATAAAACAATTATAAAATTGCCATAATTATAGATTTAATGAGATTGCTAATGTGAATACTAGGCTTTCCTGAAGAACTATTTAGACAAGTCTTCTGTAACACCACCACAAATATAGTTGAGATACGGATTTGTAGCCCTTTAAATTGCTGGAAGCAGTGTCTGTATTCGTGTTACTACAAATTCATGCCAGGAGTTCTAGTGGAGATACTTGCTTAGATTCATACTGTACTCCTCTGGTCAATTCCTAAATAATCAGGTCCTTATGTAAAAATGTTTAAGAAGCAGTCTCTGATAACTGCTGGCCAATTATTGCAAATCACTGCATAGACAGAAACACCATTAAATTACTAAACAAAACCATCAGAAAGGTTATTTTGTTATCACATGAACTTATGTATCTTATTACATTTACACCCCCTTAAGGAAAAAAAAAAGGAAATGGTATCCAATGACTCCACAATTAAACAACATAACAAACAATATGAAATGATCTTCAAATCTAAGCTGCACATTAAAAAAACAAAAGCAACAGTGAATATAATGGAATTAAAACAGGTTAGAGCAGCACAAAATATGTATCAATTAGCTCTATGGGCTAAATGTTTTGTTATTTAACACACAACAGCTTTTGCATCCGGATGGAGGATCTTGAAAGAATGGGTCAGTTTAGCCTTTCTCAATAAATAATTCCATAGGGGGTGCTGTCACTGTGAAGACCCTGTCTTGGATTCTAGTCAAATACACATCAGATGTTCGGTGAGATAAGAGCCTTGCTGGAAGATCTCAATGTTTGTTTAAAGTTTTATGAATCATCATGACCAGCATGGTAACTCACAGCCAGAAAGGGATCAACAGTCAATGTAATTACTGTTACTTGTGAGATACACACTTCTTATAATTACTCCTGGTCAACAACATCACTGTAACATTAACTATCCGAAGTTTTTGAACAGCCTTCGAGACCACTCCTCCTAGAACATGTTGCAGTAATCCAACAGGATATAACTGAGGCATGTCACCATAGCTAGAAACATCTCAGTAAAGTGGCACAGCTGGCAAAAAGTACTCCTGGCTGCTACTGAAATTCTGGACATAAAGGACTGGAATTGAATTCACAAATACTTCTCAGATTATATAGCAGAAACGAACAAAAAGAAAAAGAAAAGCGCCATGGCACCACGAAGACTGACAGATATATTTCAATGTGAGGTTTCTTGGATTACAATCTATTTTCTTAGAAATGTATGTCTGACTAAAAAATGGATTGTAATCCACAGAAACTGACACTGAAATATACCTGTTGCTCTTTAAGGTGCCACAATACTTTTGTTTTGTTTACAATTATACATGTTGAAACAAGCTCTCAACTATAATACAGCAAGCTTTTTGGAAAAACCTCAAGATTATCAACCTAATTTTCACAGAGGCATGTATCTCATCCTAAACAGGCTAAATCCCATATCCCTGTCTTCCTACCAACCAGGTATACCTCTGACTTGCCTGGATGAAGTTTCAGTTTGTCCACTCTTATCTAATAATGATAACAGTGTGCTGTCAAATCCATTCTGACTGGGTTTTAGGTAGAGAATACTCAGAAGTGGTTTACCCTTCCCTTCTTCTGGGGGCTTCCTGGGACAGTGCAGCTTGCCCAAGGCCACACAGGCTGACTGTTCTGTAGGCACAGTGGGGAAATCAAACCCCTAACTTCTGGCTCCTCAGCCAGAGACTTAAACCACTGAACTATCCAGCCAACTTCATTCTCATCTAGTCCACTAAAAATACCAAACTCAACAACTGATAGCCCACTTTCTTAGGCTACCATGGAATGAAGAAGCAGAGAAGGCTGTAATTAGGAAACACTAGACTCCAAAACCATTTGCCCAAGCAGTTTCATGTAGATGAGGCTGGTCATCTGGCACTTCCAATAGTGATAAACGGCTGCCTCCATCATAGCACAACAATGGGCAGACAGGTTAGGACAGACAGAAATTTGAGCTGAACAACCCTTATAGAGGGGCCAAACATTTCCTAGCCCTGATGTGAATCACTTACATAGACTTATAATATTGAGGTCATTGAGAGGTCCAGCAAAATCAACAGGAATGTATTCTCCCAGTCCAATTTCCAGTGAAAGTAATCCAAAGATGTCATCGGAGCATTTTCCACCCCAAAACCAGCCTTAAAGCCAGGTAGAGATGGCTCTAGGTACTGAGAAGCCACCTCCCATTTGGGTCTCTTATCCGAGAATTGTATTGGAAAAATGGCTAGAATTTATCCAGCACAATGGAATAATATAAGGAAAGAGCCTCGTGGCACAGTGGTTAAAACGCTGTATTGCAGCTAAAACTGTGCTCACGACCTGGGGTTCAAATCCCAGGTAGCCGGCTCAAGGTTGACTCAGCCTTCCATCCTTCCGAGGTCGGTAAAATGAGTACCCAGCTTGCTGGGGGGGCAATGTGTAGCCTGTATAATTAAAATTGTAAACCGCCTGGAGAGTGCGTATAGCGCTATGGGGCGGTATATAAGTCCAAAAAAAAAATATCTTTAAAACAAAACAAAACCTAGTTATTGCCTCTTTTGGACCCAGTGGGGTACACTTTCTCTTTTACAGAGAAATTAATGACTCCCCCTCAACCAACCTGCTTCTTATAGCTTTTATAAACTGTGAAGAATAAAGGTCAAGGATATGTGGTGTGGTAGACCTCACTTCTTGAACAATTCTGCCTACATCAACAGGCTACACAATTCAAAAATTATCAATCACAATTGAATATGCATCTTCTGAAGCTATAAAAACAGGACCTCCATTGACTGTGTATCTAAGCCAAGAAAGATATGAGTGACTTTATCTGAAAAGCATATTGAAAACAAATTGGTCACAGCAAGCTACTGAGCAGTTCTCTGTACTGTCTTGTGAACTCACATGTAAGAGGTCCCAACTATTTGAAAAACTCTGAGCAACAGTGGCAGATAAATTTCTTTGCCACCACCACTGCTGTGTAGCAGACACTCAAAGTGACTCCTCACCTGTGTTTAATCACACTTGCCCAAGTCTTCAGCCAATATCACTCTAGTTGTTATTCTTCTCATTTCATCACATTAAGCTTCCCAGCAAACCAGGGAACTCATTTTGGCTCTAAAAAGTGGGAGAAATTACTCAGGAGCTACTGAGCCAACTGCTCTGGACACTGATCCATTCCAGAAACGGAGGCATTGAATCACCTATCAAAGTTGCAGCAAATTCCCCAAAACTGTTAAGTAACCACCTGGATCCATCTGTCTCCTATGACAGCTTATTCTAACATGCCCAAAATGCACCACACAGTGATCTGAGCATGACAGAGAAAAAAGGTTTATGAAATCTGCAACACACTCAGATCACCATGACGCCATCAAGCGCAGAAAAAGAAACAGGGGGACTAAGGGAGTACTGCACACCACTGAATTGGTGGAGCTAGAAACCATTTCAGGCAGACCATGATTGTTATGGAAGCCATGAAATCCTGAGCCCTATGAGTCTGGTTTCTGAATTACAGTACATGCCTGGAAGACTCCAGCATCACACCAACAGGAATGGAGACTACTGGGCAGCAACATGGATAGAGCAGCAACAGAAGATCTGTAATTTCCTGACCGTGCAGTTCGGGTGGGCACACTCAAAATTGGACAACATTAGATGGCTGTACTTGGTCAGGAGGCTAGATTCACCTCCTCTCTCCTATACCTTACCTGCTCAGTTCATGCACACAAGGATAAAGATGGGAGTGATGCCTTCTCTCAGTTTCACCCTAGCATATATCTGATGTACAAATCAGGCTGGCATTCTTATCCAGGATTGCCATCTCAGATGGCTGCTGCTTTGTAATTCACTATCCTAGCACTCAACCCTGACAGCACTTTCAACCCTAAGGGGACAGCCTACTGGCTGATAGATGGCTTAGATGTTGTTGGTAGGGAGCAACCCACATCCACTTGAACTCCTTTTAACTCATAACCGTATGGCCACATTCCACTACTCTATCAAGCACTTGAGAATAGGCACTTTTTTGGACAATGGTCACAACCTGGTTCTGCAAATCACACTCCAACAAAACCACTCTTCCAAGCTCATAGCCTTCCCTGCTTTCAGTCCATAAAATGGATACACTCACATATGCCTCTCTCACACATTTCTTCAAAAACACATCTGTTCTACAACGAAACCCATACAATACCTGTTGAATTATTAGAACAGAAATAATTCATGACACTTCCAGGGATTAATCATTTCAGCACAGATACAGTACTTTTGCATCTCTTTATTAATGTGTGACAATCATATAAAAAAGACCAGATCAGACAATATTCCACCACAGATCATCCGTAATATTCACTCACAGTGTTGTTCTGTAATGAGACTAGGTCTGGTTAGCACAGTGGTTTGCAAAGTCACTGATGAAGGATGTGAAGCACATTTCACAAAATCCTTATTGCTGGTATTTCTCAAGCCTCTCAGTGCTGAATCTTCTCACCAAGACTTCCTCTTGCACCAATGCCTTCTCTGAACTCCCTGAAAATAAGAGGACCTGGTCCTGTTTCCCCTTAAAATATGTATTTTTTTTTCTTAAAAAATCCATGTTCTTTTGTGGGTGGGGAGAATCTCAGTCCCCTCCCATGGAATTTTGCTCAGGGGAAGATGCTATTTTGCAGAGGAATTGGCAGAATTCTGTACAGATGGGTGTTTCTTCCAGGAAAAAGTGCCCATCAAACATCTGAAAAACTCTGTGAGATCTCTTTTGGGGGGGGGCATGCTGAGAAATCTTGCTATGAGGAGAAAAAAAAATGTTTTTCCCTGAGAGTGGAGGCTGTAAGATTCACATCCCCACCACAGACAATCCATCCCTTTCTTGCTAGCTTCCATGAGTCTACTTCCAAGTAAAGGGCTGGCAGATGGCTGCTTATGGAGGGGTGGTGGTGGGTGCAATTAATTTCAATAATATGCTCAATACAAGAGCCAAATGTACAAAGCAGTCCAATAAGAAAGAAAAAGAAGAAAAATCCTGATTGTTCTCACGTGCTTGGCACAAAGAACCTTTTTTTTAAAGCAGTGAGATGAAAATATGAATTTGGAACGGAGTTAAGCACAAACTTCAGTTAATTTCCAGACTAGCCACGCCTTTTACCAGTTTCAAATATCTCGAGTTTTATATACAATATGATTACCATACCTGTATCTTTTGTTATCCACGGGAACGATATCCATGGCAATGTAATACTGCTGATGAGGGTCTAAGCCTGAAATTTTCACCCTCATTGCAGGAAACATACGTCTAAATAAAGAAAAAAGCATTCAATTTTTTAAAAGGCTTAAATGTGAATTCTTAATTGTAGAATCACCCGAAATCCCTTTATGTGTGAAATTATCTGCAGGGCACTTTCTTAATGGATGATTATTAGTTACCTCATTTACAAAATAGTCTTATCTATGTCCTGTGCTTTGCACATTTTCAGAAAGCCTTACATAATACAAACTCTTCGACATAATGCAAATGCAGCTGTTGATCAGCAGATCATACATGTTTTGAGACTTTGTTTTGCTAGTTTTAAACATGTTTATTATTATACTGTGGATAAAAAGCAGATGCAAGTCAAAAATAAAATAACATTTTCAGACACTGATTTTTTTTTCATCCCAGGGATGCCCCCCTCAAAAGGAAGTCCCATCAAAATCAGTGGAAGTCACTGGCAGAGATCAAGAAATACTGCATCCACTACTCAGTTTATACAGTATATACATATACTGTACACATCTGAATGCACAAGAATCCTCTCTATGAAAGAGGCATTATACATAGGGGGCCTAAAATCAACTGCTCCTGACAGTTTCCTTGGTCAGTGGAAGTTGACTGCATCAATTACTACTTCAATAGTGTACAACTTGATATTGGTTCCAAGGCACTACAAATATGGAAATTAAAGAATTAACCATGAAGCTTGCAATCCTAAGCATAAATAATTAAAACCAAGTCCCACTAAAACAAATGTTTAGACTGGTCTGTAATATATATATGAAAATCAAGAATTAGCCATGAAGATGGCAGTCCTAATGCACAGATACTAAGACTTAAGGCACAAGATGCTTTAGTAATTTAGATTAGAAATTTAGAGAAATGTCTACTGAGAAGCATGCTCCACTGCGTAAATGTAGGACTTCAGTATATACTGTTTAGTGCCATCAAGCAAGTGACAATGATACTGTAAAGGACGATGTGTAACACAATATGTTCTATTCAGCTTAAATAAAATGTTATCAAAGAGCACAATTCCCATTCATACTAGGCTTGGCCCAAAGCACTGTTTTACAATTGAAAGATACAGAAAACAAGTGCATTCACTCATATATGCTATAAAGCTTATTACATTTTGGGCAGGAAACAAAATGAAAGGTACCAAAGTAATAGTGGCAATTTGTACTAGAATCTAAGCAAAGCGTGGTGGCGCTGCGGGCTAAACCGCAGAAGCCTTTGTGTGCTGCAGGGTCAGAAGACCAGCCATCGTAAGATCAAATCCACGCGACGGAGTGAGCGCCCGTCACTTGTCCCAGCTCCCACCAACCTAGTGGTTCGAAAGCATGGAAAATGCAAGTGGATCAATAGGGACCACCTTGGTGGGAAGGTAACAGTGTTCCGTGTCTAAGTCGCACTAGCCATGTGACCACCGAAGATTCTCTTCGGACAAAATGCTGGCTCTATGGCTTGGAAACGGGGATGAGCACCGCCCCCTAGAGTCGAACACGACTGGACAAAAATTGTCTAGGGGAACCTTTACCTTTACTAAGCAAAGCAGTTACAGGTTGTGGAAGTTCAAGACAGATCAGCATATGCCTAATACCAGCCTTAATTTTATTTCTCGAGGGATTTCAAATCAGTGGCATAGTGAATTTTTAAAAAATATATAAATGAAATGCAATTCTTGCTTTCTTGATGGTTTGATATGTGTAATATCAAAGCTTGATTTTAGAAAGAACTGGAGTTATTGACATTGCGGCTAACAAAAAGAGAGAGTGTATTAGCTATGGTTAACTAGTTTTTACTGGTTTTTCAGTGCACCTGTAAGATTAAAAAGAAAACCTTTGACAGGACAACTTTTAAGACAAATGTTGCCTTGTGCTGTATAAGACTGCAGTTCAATCATTAATAGAGCTCCTCTGAAAATGTAGAAGGCAGCATATGGATTCAATAAAATATGTTTCTGTAATTTCTAATAAGTTCAGATACATTTACGTTATGCAGGTTTTTACCATGTGTATCCTCTGGAAAGGAAGAAAAAAGTCCTTTTTAGAAGAAACCTTTTAACATAATGAACAACAAGCCCAAAATTCTACATATTTCTATATCATCTAAAATTACTGTGGCCTATCCAGCTTTATAAATTGGTTTGTTTAAATTCATTTTGACATCACTGTGAATTTGGGATTGTATCCACCATTTTGAAATATAATTAGAGATTACGAGTCATTGAAACATTTCTTTTCAGCAACATGATTTTATATTTTAATTAGTTATTGCAGTGGAGAAAGCTATATGCTGAAACTATGTGATACAAATATAATATTTCAGGAAGTCAGAAGCATAATAGATCATTTTGTTCTACTCAATATTTTGTATCTGAGTTGCTGTTTCACAATCATAAAATTTAAAAAATGGGGATGTATAAAAATGCCAGAGGCAGTGGAACAAAGCAAAAACATACCTCTCATAACTGATCACTAGAAACTAGACACCAGAGCTGCATATCCCAATCCACAGTTAATATGGATTTTTCAAGAGAAAGCCTGATTATTCCTAATATAAACATGCTGAGTATAAATAAGATGTGGGTTCAGGGCTTTAGGCTGCAAAGAGAAATACACTTTTCTGTAAGTATTAATGAAATTGTTCCTTTTTTTAAAAAGTATATTTAGAATTGGTGCAGTGTCACTGAGGTCAAGTAACCTTTTGGCCAAATCTTAAAACATTTAAACAGAATTCTACTTACTGTATATCAATAGATTTGCCTCTTTGAAACCACACAGTGCTAATAGGAAACAAAGTTCTTCTGAACAATGAAATAGTTATATTTAGGTTGTAGTGGTTTTTTTTTTAAAAAAAACTTGAGGAATATTAATCTAATTAATCAGAGTTAATTAATGAAAAATCATGATATTCTAGTTCCATCTCTTCCAAGAAAGATGACGGGGTGGAACTGACCTCTGTATCTTACCAAATTTAAGATTATGAAATCTATGCACACCAGTCTCTAAGAAAATCTGACAGCAGCCACAATCTGGTTTGCACATTCTGAAAGATAATAGGAAGCAAACCAACAACAAAAAAGTGCATTTCATCAAGAAACACAAATGAAAAGAAAAGAATAAAAAAATGTCATGGCACGTTAAAGAATGACTGCTATATTTTAATGTAAGCTTTCGTGGAATATCACCCACTTTTCCAGACCTATATAAAATACAGAGATCGCACAGTAATTGCATCTCTCTGCTCCTAGCCTTTCTTGCAGGGCGTCTTAAACTGGTCTTTACGTCGGAAAGTGTTTTCCAGGCAGGTATGGAAATGCGGGGTCGGGTGGCGCTGGTTTTGGTTTTGAGCGAGGGATATTTTTGAGGGGCTGTTTCGATTTACCCTTTCTTTCTTTTCTTTTCTTTTTTCTTACCTTCCTGCCTTGGTGATAATCATCTCGGTGCCGATCTCGTGGAAGCGCTTCCAGAGCTCTGCTCCCTGCAGGTCCACGCGAGGCACTTGCAGAGGAGAGCCCGGTCTTGGGCTCCCCGTCTTGGCGGGACCTCCGGGGGACAGCGGGGGCGACGCGGAGTTCAGGAAGCTTTCTTCGCAGCCACCTGCAAAAGGGCGGGGGGGGGAGCAGCGGAGGCGGGAAGAAAGCAAAGGGGGAAAGAAAAGAAATGAACAGGAAGAGAGGGCATGAGGCAAGAGAGGCGCCAAACCTAGAGCGGCCGGAGGGCGCAACTGTTGCCGCCTCTTCGGCCTTTCTTTTGCGTTTTTTAAAGGGTGCCAGAAAGTATCTGGACTCTGGAGGCATTAAAGCTACCTCTGTCAAGTTAAGGAAGGGCGCCTGAGGCGAAAGAGGCAACCAATATTGCTACTACCGGCGGCGCCACAGGCGCCCCCCCTCCTTCCCTCTCTCTCCTGTCCACGCGCACATGCGTCCTACAGGAACGGGCACGTGCGCTTTTGCGCCGCCGTCCCCGGGGTCCTTTTGGCGCGGGACTCGCTGGGCCTTGCGAGTCCCGTCCTTCTTCGGGCCCTCAAGGAGGCCACGGGACGGCCGTGAGACAAATGTCCCGGCACGTGCGCAACCCATTTAGGCAGGGGGTGGGGATGGAGGGAGGGCGAAGGAACGAGGTGGAAAGGATTCACTGAGAGGAAGGCCGTTTGGCGAGCAAAAGGCGGGGAGTGAGTCTCTCTCTCTATTTTGTTATTTAGCCCCACCCTCAGCCCGCGTTTCCCACTGGAAAAAGAGGCGCGCGAAGGGCGCCCTGACCAAGACACTGACCAGAGGCCGGTGAGGGGCTGCGCGGGCGTGTTTGGAAGAAGTCGCCGTATTCTTGGCAAAGACGGCGCCGTTTCTTGAAGGAGAAAGCACCGGAGGCGAAGGTCAATGAGGGCGGCTTCGAGAAAGCCGGCCGGCGACCTCCGAGCGCGTTGGCTTGAAAGTAAACGGCCTTGGTTTTAAAGAAGCCTCGTTCCTTGTAAGGGGAGTCGACCCCCCCCCCTTGATAACAGATGCCATTGAAGACGAACGGGATGCAGTTCGAGATCCAGAGCCGCCCTCTCCTTTTGAGGACCGTTAAAGGATAACCTTATCCCCACCATCACCACCACGAGCATTTCCCCCAAACGTCTTAACGCCGTAGAATAAAGACTATGAAACTTTATTTATCAGGTTTTCTCTTCTACAAATAATTTCGGGCGCCACAGAGTTTACATGCATTTTAGTCAGAACGTTTTGGGGCAGGTTTTGTAGGGACCACTGGCAATGAGGAGGGACAATCCTATCCCGGCTACGCAGGCCCAAATCCTATTAAAACCGACATTCGAGAAAGACTAAAATGTTGTGTTTCAAGTATACCCGTTTGTGGAATATAGAGGCTCTTAATCTCTGCGTAACATAAATTTGAGGGATGTGAAATAAGTGGGAGAGTCAGCATAGGAATCGCGTTTCATGCGAAATCAAACGCGTTTAACAAATGTCTAAAACATCTAAGTCCCTAAACAAAATATGGCTCTATATATCCCAATATATTATCAGAGATGTTTTACTCCTCTTTGTTGGTGGGTTGGGAAAGTACTGTACAGAAGTAACTTCAGAAGAAACAAACACAATCAAGCTCACACTATATTATTCTACGATCTCTGTTCATGTTTGGGCACAAACAGATGATAACTAATAACTCCTGTTTTACTCCTTAAGTCTCTCTTCTTATAGTTAAAATCTGCCTTTTAACTAGACAGTTAATTTTTTAAATGCATTTATAATAAATAGGATGAAAGTACCACCGGGAAAGTTTTCTTTCACTATAAATACATTTTCAGTCCACATTAATTAGAACAGAGGTGGGTGGTTGCAGTTGAGCATTATTATAAGTAATACAAAATAATTCTGGGATATTTAAAAACATTCCTATTACTAAATGAGCAATAGTGGTTATAACAAAGCTGACATGGAATAATTTTGTATAGACTGGATGATTTTTAAGGATATTCATAATCATTAAAAAAAGTAGGTCTAGCAAAACGTGTTGAAGAAACAATTTATGTCAAGCCAAGTGAGGTTTTAAAATACCATCACAAAAAGCAAGTACACTATGGCCATCAATTATGATAAACAGGAACTCTTATATATTGGGTTCCTTCTATTCCTACAGGATTTTTCCTGCCTCTCTTCTGAATTGTGCCCATTCTCTGAATGCATTATCCAACACGCGTAGGCTCCCAAGTCTATACGGGATTACATGCGAGACGGACTAATTGAATTTAGTGGGATTTCCTTTCTAGAATAGAGATGTACAGGATTACATTACTGTTGGTGTAGCATAACGGAGATACTGTAAGACCCTCCGATCGGCATTTGTACCTTAAAAACCCTGGAAAGGGTCGTTGTAAGTGGAAATTGATTTGTCTGCGCATAATAATTGGTATTAATTTGCTACCCGGTAATCCTGCTCAAGATCAGGGGACCTATCAGAAAATGGAAAAACACTGATCCTACACCAATCAATTGAGGGTAATCTTAGCGAAATCAAGGGTTTCCAAGAAAACGAAACTAATAGGGCAGCATTGTGAGGCGAAGGCAAAATAGTGCGATTAATTAAATTAAGAAACGGATCGTTCACAAAAGAGTGTGTCGCTGCTTACGTGCATCCAACGTTTATTGAAAAGGATTTCTTAACGTTGTTTTCTAATTGCTACCACCGTACGGGAGCGAGATTTTTAAAAGCTTGAAAACGGCAGGACAAGCCGGCCTGATGGAAACCGGGCCGACGACGAAAGGGCAATAACAGAGTGAGTGTGAACAGGCTTTGGGGGCATTGACAGCTGCCTCGAAGAAGCAACTGCGGCCGGGTATGGGAACCATGCCGAGATTGCCTCCGGTCCGGAACGAGAGACGACGAGAGACGCCGCCTCCGAGATTGAGGCGATCGGAGGTGGCATTCATTCCCTTAGAAAAATAAATGTATAAATGTGCCCCCCCTGCCCATTAAGATCCCAACGGGCGAGGAAGACGGGGATCCTCTCCCCGCAGCTCAGGACAGGGGCTGGGGGGTGTGTGTGCAAAGCCACTCAAACCACTTACCGGGAGGCAACGCTCGGCCACTGCTGGCCCTCGCAGCATCCGCCCCGACCGGCGCGGGTTCAGGGCCGAGCGGCAAAGGGGCGCTGGGATATAGCACTGGGCCTTCCAAGCTGCTGCTGCTGCTGCTGCTGCTGCTGCTGCTTCTCGGCTCCGATCAGCGCCTCCACGGAGAAAGCGTGAGCCTTGAGGCTCAACATGGGGCAAGGCGAGGCTCTCCGCTTCTCTGCCATGCCGGGGCCGGCGGGGCTGCGAGCCCTCCTCTCCTGCCCTCTTCCTCCTCTTGCCTGCTTCCAAACTTCCAGGCCGCACCGCTCGCCTTCGCTTCGCCTCCCCCGCCCCCGCCCCCGCCTTTCCGTCCAACTTCTAGCAGCCCCCCGATGCCTTGGGGTGGGAGCCCCCCTTCCCGCCTCTCCTTCCAGGCTCCCAGACTTATTCCTCTTTGCAAAAGTGGCGCTTCTCTTCTTCTCCTTCTCCTCCTCCTTCACCACCGCCGCCACCACCTCTTCTTCTCCGTCCTCCTCCTCCTTCTCCTCCTGCAAGCTCTGCCTCGCCCGAGGGGCCAAACAGTTCTGACATGGGTAACAAACGCTCTGCGGACACAAATTAGGGCTTGTAATTGAAATTTGTTGCCTTGATCTGTCAGCACTTCCAGGCAGGAGACCGGTGGGAAGAACTTGCTCATTAGTGTCAATAAAGTGACTGGGACGGGGCGGAGCCCCACGAGAGGGAGAGCGGCTGTCAGTCAAGAGGTGCCCGCGGCCAATCAGAAATTACAGAACCCCCCCCGCTCCAAAGCGGGTGCTTCTTCCTTAGAAGGTTATAGAAATGTATGGGGCGGGGGGGAGGGGGAACTGTCCGAAGGGGTGCTTGCATCTCTTTCCCTTCCTGGAGTGACACCCCCAAACTATCCCATCGCTTTCAGGCTGTTACAAATGTACAGAGTTCTGCCAAAAACGGCAAATGTACCGTATTTATCTTAATCAATTTATCGAAATCTAGTGGTAACCAAGCTGGACCATTAGTCAGAAGAAGGGTTCGGTCACACTTCTTCTGATGGATTCGTTGTTTGGCTATCAGTCTCAGTTTTTCAATGTGAAATAGGAATTACAGTGACTATCTTCGTATGAACGTTATATCTCGAATAGGATAAAAACCGTTTTTCTTTCTCTTTTTCATACTCTGCAAAGTGGTTTACAAAACAGCAGCTAACCGTAGCTGCAATACTAGGGGGTTGTAGTAGCACCGCAAGTGGGTCATCAGCACCAAAGAGTGATGTTATAAACGGAAAAATCAAAATCAGTTTTAATTACGGTCTCCGCCTTTACACACAGAGCAGATTATTATTATTATTATTATTATTATTATTATTATTATTATTATTATCATCATCATCATCATCATCATCATCATCATCATCATCATCATCATCATCATCATCATCATCATCAGAATTTCTCCTAGGACAGTTACTTGCTCTTCTCAAAAACGTATTTCATGATGGCGGGTGTTTTTAAGTATGTGAAACACGAAATGCCTGTTAAAGGCTTCCCGAGGAGAGAAATGATGTCTTTTACAATTCTTCCCGAATTCTGAAGGTCTAAGGACCCCCTCTTCAAACAAATTCTTGGGTACAAGAGATTCCTCAAGCAAGCAGATTCCTGTCCTCTATCTATGGGAATTATTAGGATATTTAGGATCAGGGTACCAAATACCAGTGCGAATGCAATGCCTCTCACTGTTTGTCCCTTGCCCTGTGTGTATGTGTATGTGTGTGTGTGCGTGTGCGTACGTACAACAGCTGAAAACTTCAGTATGCTGTGCATTTAAAAGAAGTTTTAATGTAACATCTATGTAGGAAGCTAATTCTGATGGTATGTAGTAAATCAGAGTTCCTATACTTTTCTTTGTCTCGTCTTTCCTCCTCCTTTTCTTCTTCTTCTTCGGTGATGGCGGGGGAGCGCATGTGTGTGGAGTGTTCCACGGTAGTTTCCACAGATAATCAGGATGCACTTTATATATCTCGCTGAGCTCAGCATGCGCCCAGAAGAAAGGAGATGTTTGGAGCACCAAAAGAAAAAGGGGGAGAAAGGGGAAGAAAAAGAAGAAAAACTTTAACGAACTGTTTAGAAAAAAGGACAGCACAACTGGCTTTAAATACACACTTCTCCTTCCCATTTCTTTTTTTATCTCCCTCCTTCCCTCTCCTCCGCCCCCGCACCTTAAATCCCGATCCATAAACTTATTTAGACGAAAAATCTGCTGAATTAAACTTTTGCCATTATCCAGTGCAATAATGTCACTGCAGCGGAGAGATGAAGGAATAGGACTGTTCTTGTCAAGTATCTTAGCATCAGTACCACCTGATTAAGGGGATTATTCAGTGCACAGGTACCTTGACTACGACCCATTAGACGCAGCTAGACTCACTTGTGAAGAAGCCGTTTTGTTAAAAAAAATTAATAAACTTTAACAGATACAAATCTTATGAATGGCGATTTCCCCCTTGAGCTTGGCCTGCCTTCGCTCCCTTTCCCAGTCCTAAGGCTGAGTAAGAATTTCTGAGTATTTTTAACCATACCTATTCGCTTGGAATAAACGGGATTCAGGACATGGTGGCTTCCAGTTCTCATCACTCATTGTTTTGAAGGGGCCCCACTGAAGTAAATGGGACTACTCTGGAGGTGGCAGTGTGCCATAGCGATGAGGAGGCTTGAGCATTGCGGGATCTATCCTATTTCTTTGATCAGAATCCCGAGATCCACCTTTCACAACGATGTGCAAAATGTATCCACTTAGACTTTTGAGTTCTGGGCTCAAACATTTGTGGAGTACCACAACTCCACAACTGAAAGGGAGCCGGGGGTCACGGCCCTTCCACTCCGGGTTACCATTCCTCATTTGGCCAGCGTTATGTGTGTCGGGGAGAGGGCTTGCCTTCGATTCCTCTTGATAACAAACAACTGGAAATCGAAAATTCTTGCTGTTCCGCTGCAAAAATCTAACCCCTTCTGTCTATTCCCAGTTCAATAGCCCCATCCCAAGCCGAATAACCCAGCAGTGCTGAAATCTACAGACCTGCGAACTCAGTGCCATTGCTTAGATCCTGTGAGTGCAAAATAATCGTTTCCTGGGGAGGCAGGGGATAAAAATAACAGAAATTCAACTTGTTCTACCATGAGTTATCAACTGAACACTTTAATAGTGGAGGGATTTCGTGTTTTAATCTGAATCCACTTTGAAGGCATTGGCAAGGTAGAGTTTTCCCCCACATTCTGCATAGGTTTGATGATTTACTCTACTCGATTCGGGGTGAATAATATCTGCACAGAGCAGGTTTCTGAACTAGAGAGTAATAAGGGGCTGGGACCGACACCCGTGTGTGCGTGCGTGCGTACGTGTGTCTTTCCTCCCCCTTAGTTTTGGTTCGGGATTTTGGAAAGAATGATGCATCTCTGGGAGCACAGGCAACGTAATAATTAGGACCGTTCGCCAGCGTGGAATTTAACATGTCACCAAAATGTAAATCCATCTCCAGCTTCAGCGGCGGCTGAGGAGAGTGAGAGAGGCCTGAATTTACGAGAGAAAGAGAATCTGAAAGATCAAACACTTCGGAGGTAGATTGCCTCCCCCCCCTTTTTTTAAAGCAACGTTTTCCATTAAAAAGAAAAGAAAGGGATATTAACACCGCCGTCTTCCCAACGCACCCAAAGGGAAGTCAGTGCCAGTGACTTCAAATGCCGCCCATTCCAGCTAATCTGATGCGTCCAGAACCGGGCCATCGGGACATTCACGAAGCTCTAGCTAGCCTGTTCATCGGAGCGCATCCATAAAAGGGGGTCTCGAGAAGTTAAGCCCCCGTTTACAGCCCCTTCGGAAGAATGCCCAGCTTGAAATCGCCTTCAAGTCCTGCAGAGAAAAGAGACTGTGGGACGGCGGCTTTTGGGATGGGGTGGGACTCAGACCCGTAGTTACAAAGCAGTGACAAATTGCTTAAGGAGAGGCTATCGGGTCTTTACCGTTGCTTGTCGCCGGAAGCCTACCAGGTTTCTGGCCTCAGGGAGGCTGGCCAGGGACTCTTCTTGGCTTTGTAAGAAACTCCCTGCGAAACCATTGCTGAGATATCTCAGGGGTGTGTGTGTGCGTGTGCGTGCGTGCGTGCGTGCGTGCGCGCGTGCATGTAGATGTCTCCCGTAGTGAATAGTCGCCTGTCTGCCCCTCAGGAATGAAAGCTTATCTGCCTGTGGAGAGAAGCAACAGTTAAAGGCTGGATTCAGTGGTTACTCCCAACAAGTAGGGGGTGGAATGGCCGTGGGGCGCAACAACGGTGGGATGAAACCTGTGTCCCTTATCTTATACACTCCACAGGTACTCTAGCTGAGAGTAACAACTGGCGTTAGCCCAGACTGTGCCAAAGTTGAATTAGGTACCACCAATCTTATAACTATGCATGTAACAGATCGATCTTATTAGGGTTTGTTTACTTTCGATCTTCCTACAGTATCTTATTTTAACCTAGTAAATTAAAACTGACACCTACACCTAAGGGTACTTAAGCACTTAAGGGCTTCAAGGTACTGTAATCGATCGTTCGTTCGTCCAAAACAAAACTATCCGAATTCATTCTGCAGAAACGCAGTGCCAACTGACGGGGACTGCAAATCGGTAGCAATCAAAATCCTTCGGAAGCTTAAAGACTAGAATATCTGTTAGGGTCTTTAAGGGACGACATGGACTGCGGTCCACGTCACCAGTTGCACGGAGTGCCATCCAGAATTGCACGCATGGTTTGGGAGGAGTTGGGGGGGGCGGAGGAGAAAAACAGACAACACTCGGGAAGTTTCTTTTTAAGGACTCCAACTCCCAGAATTCCACCGCAAGGATGTACAAAAGTTATAATCCAAAAAGTAGGACAAGTAGAATTGTAAACCAGGAAGCCAGAGGTAAATTGGAATCAGAGGATATGGGTAGTGGTTATAGATTAACTCCTACTACCTACCTACCTACCTATCTGAAGCCCGCCTGCCTATCTACCATTAGAAGATATCCAGGAATTCATATTTCAACATTTCAGCGAGCCCTCATATTTGTAACTGTTGCAGCAAAGGGGTTGGTATCACTTTATTTTAGGATTTCACAGTTAAATGCGAGTTCACTAGTATTTTATTCTTTTCTGGAGACTGTAAGCCGCCTGGACGGCTCCTTTAGAAAGGCGGAACAAGGATGTAATACATGGAGATGCTGATCATGAGGATGAAACCGAAAGGTCTGCATTTCAGACCAAGCTAAGGCCCCCTTGCCAGCCTCGGAGCTGCTACTCCCCCCCCTCC